TACCAATTTATTGGGTAAAAATACTTTTTAATAAAAGTTTTGATATGTATAACATTTTCCTTCTCCCACTACCTTTATCCCTTTTTTCCTTGGCTAATCAACTCCATCAACGGCATCCACCCAAAGATCCTATCTTCTCTCTCTCTTCATCTTTCCCTCTGTTGCCTTCATCCCATTTTCTCGTTAATCAACACATCGATGCCTTTCACGTATAAATTCTATTTTTTTTGAGGAATACTATACTGATTAAATTTATTGACCAAATTTACTTCTCAAATGAAATGACAACATATTATTTGGAGTCTTTATTGAGGTCCAAATGACATGACACCAAATAAATAAGCTCAAGTCAGCTGTCATATCATTTGAGATAGATATTTGATTCCAAAATTTAGTCAATCTAGCATTAATGAATTTTTTTTTCATTTCTCTCCCTTTCCCCCCAGTTGTTTTCATCCCTTTTTCTAGTTAATCACCACGACTCTTCATTTCACAATATTGACTGTGATTCTCCCACTCCTTTTATAATACTCATTGTGCGGGAAGATTTTTGCACAATATTTGAAATGAGAACAAATCTCTTCCACGGTGAGCTCTGACCCATCGAGGGGGTGGATTCGACAATAAGGAATTATGTGGGAGGGGCCAAAGGGAGCCTAAGAAGTGGTGGTGAATTGTTCCTGGTGGTGTCGAATGGATTCTAGTGGCTCACAAGGGATTCTTGGAACACAAAAAATAGGTTAGAAGAGCGCCGAAGTGTTTTTCGACGTATCCCCTCGACGATCAAGTTAGTTCTTTGAGAGAGGGGAAGAAAAAAATACTGTTTGGGGTTCTTCAAAGATGATTTAGCGTACTATTGTAAAGTATTTTTGAGGACTATTTATACTTTCAAATGCTCATCATTGCTGACAACCTAGGCTACTGATAGCCTTAAGAGATGGGGCAACGTGCCCCTATTCTGCATGAAAAATGTCCCAGTATTGATTGTTCGGCCTGCCGAGCATTTAATGCTCTTTCTCCAATGTAGGGGCATTAAATGCGCGGATCCCTGAGTATTCAATGTTTTTACTTCTCGACTTATTAAGCTAGGGTAGACATCTCATCAACTGATGCCTCATTAAATGTTTGTCTCTATTAGCTGCATATTAGTAGGGGCAGTCCTGTCTTTTTATCCCTGACCCGTACATTACGCCACGTGTCTGATTCCCTATGGTTGAGTGTCTAATTCATCCTGTCATTTTGACTCCATTTGTACAGAGTATCATCATCGTTCCTAGCCTACTTTAGGTTGTCCAGTTGTCAGTCACTAGCTTCCTCAGAAATCGATGACTTATGGTGAGATCGGAGCGTGACCATCGGGACTGAGGACATATTTTGACGCCCTTAAAATTGAAGGTCCCGTTGACCACCCGTCAACCCGAGGAAATGCCTGTGATTGTCGCATGATCCGACACCACGTCAATAGTTTTCTATTTATTGGGATTTTAAATTTACATGTGAAACCCGTGCACTTTTATCATTATATCTAACCGTGGTCCAAAGTACCACATTTCATTCTCCTTTTATAGTCCATTTATATCATAGGAACTAAATGATGCATAGCCCAAGGCCTGGGAGAAAGATTAAAATTTTTTTTTTTAAAATCTGTCAAAGTGTATCGATACGCGTACCGGTGCAAGTTGCTCACTGGACCTCATCGTACCGGTACGCATACCTGCACAGTTTGCCTTCTGGACCTCGCTGTATCAGTATGCGTACCGATACGTTGTGCCAATTTTTTCCTGTTTCACCTGTTTTACATTTCAAATCCAATTTTAACCATTCCAACATCATCTCAAATATTCATAATGATGTTATTCACATAAAACTTGATATCTATAAGTTCTATTACATGTCATTTACACGGTTACTGGTCAAACGGAATTAAATCTAAGTTTTACACAAAACTTGTTTTTAAAAGCTACAAATCGACTTTTCTTCACTCTCGAGCCCCCGAATGTGTGGCATCCACCAGAATATGCGCCGCACCTGAAATGTGATCCCGTATAGGGTGAGCCAATGCCTTGTAAAATATTTCTTACAGAGGCTACTCCCAAACCTGAGTGCATATGAATGTATACATGCAACAATACACAATCAATACTCATTCCAATGCAAGAATATATAATTCATGTTGGAATCTATCGTGTCATGCCATGAAATGAGATAAAACTCACTCATGCTTTTTACTCTAAGTTTTCACTGACTATCATAACACAATGCAATGCCAATGTGTACTTGAAACCGTTATCTATGTTACACATCAAATGACATTTTCAAAACTAGGGTCTTTCTTAGGATGGGTATTCATGGACTTACACCAATGGCACCCAGCTGACACGGAATTCATGGACTATACCAACGGTTCTGTGTACACCAACACACTTTATGGGCTTTTATACCAACGGAGTACAAATTCAATCACCAGACTTTTTCACCTGAGGGATATTCTAGCCTTTCTTGCTAACTCCGACCCAATTTTCCATAAAATCGTGCGACTAAGTCGAATCATCGATCCAAAATTCTCAAGTCCACTCGTCATACACCAATTGAGGTGATGATGACAACCATGCACACATACCTTCAATATGCGATGTCTCCATGCAAATGCAATGTAATGAATCGTTGCTTATTAATGTCATGTCCCACATATAATGAATGTCATATGGACAACTTAAACCACACATTTTACATACCTCATGACAATTTATGTCATGTGTGCATAATCACCAATGTCCTCACAAGTCAATATAGCAAAGAACAAATATTATACATGACTCAACCACAATTCACAACAAGCATGTTATACATAACTCATGCCAATAACACATTCAATTCTCAAAGCATAAAATAAACACATAACATGGCCACCAATTTCCAATTTCCAAGAAATCATCCAATAATTTCTATACATTGACCCATGCTAGGAATTGATTTTAAGTCATTTCAATACCTATGTCCATAATCATAATCAAATGACCTATGTTATTCAATACCCTTACCCATTCCATGATACACCCTAGGTAAGAAATCAACCAAAAAAGAAGAAACCATACCTCTTGGAGCGTAAATAGAAGATAGAAAGTCTTATAGGACACCACCATGACTCCAAGGTTTTGATCTCCCAAAATCCTCTGCTTGGATCTTCGATGAAATTCCTCGTTCTTGGTAAGTAGACATAGCCCTTGTCGCGTAGACCAACTTTAATTCTTGGTCCAAGCAATTCCGACTGACAGAGCCTCTTGGATCGAAAGAGAAAGGTAGAAATTTTAGATTTTTTCTCTTTCTTCTCTTCAGCGTTGGAACTCAGCTGACTTAGGGGTGTGAAGAATCTGATTTTTCAGATATTAGCCCCTATTTATACTTTTTAATTGTGCGGTCCACATTGCCCTCGCATGTTTACTATTTTCGGGTCCGTTTTTAATCCGAAATAACTTAATTAAATTTTAGTTTCAGTTTAAATAATTTTTATTTGAACTTTTATTTAATTATAAGGAAATTTTATAATTTTTATTTTTGGGGATGTTCGTGAGATCGTTCATCACCTAGTTGTCTCGTAAAACGCTTAAAATTTGATTATCTCAGAATTCGACGAAAATTGATATGACAGCTCGATTTCATGATGCGAGTCCAATGGTGAGGTCTGTTGATCCATCTGAGCTTTAGAAAAATATTGACTTTAAACTTGGATTATAGTGGCAAAATTACCCTTTTGCCCTTTTTTCCGAAAAAAGTTTAAATTTACCCAAATTTTACACATATGGTTCCTCAGAGCCGAGGGAACTCCTCAGAGTCGGTGGAACATGCCTTGGTGGAATCAAGGAACTCGTCTGTCGGAGCAAGGGGATATTGGGCCCGTGGACACGTGGCTTCGCCAGAGGTAAGAAAAGTCCCTCGGGGCCAAAGACACGTGTTATTGATCCAACACCCTTATAAAAATGTCCCATCACTCATCATCCTTCTCTTTTTCTTTATGTTCTATTGCCAACTATCCTCATTTGNACGTGTCATTGATCCAACACCCTTCTAGAAATGTCTCATCACTCATCATCCTTCTCTTTTTCTTTATGTTCTATTGCCAACTATCCTCAGCCAACCAACCATCACCACACCTCAATGGCCACCATCAAAGCAAACCCCCATCATTGTACCATTATGATCACTATGAAACCCATCACCGCACCATAATAGCCACTATAAAACCTATCAGTGCACCAGGATGGCTACAACCAAAACCATCACCCACACACATAAAAAATCTTAATCAAAATATTACCAAGCTAACCCTAATAAGTGGTGGTGATAAGTAGTATGTAACGAAGAAGCAAGAGAGAGAGAAAGACGCTAAAGCTGAAGTGGGTTTGAGCCCTTTTTTCTTTGCAATTGGTTGTGTATATCTATAGGCGCTTGTATTGATTTTTATACTTAGATTGTATCTGGGTGGAGATTTTACATTGTGTTTGGAAATATTTTGTTGTGAAATATTTGATGGATATTAATTTAGATTTGCAAAAGATAGGTGGCAGTGGTGAAGATGGCGAGGAAAGGGAGTGGTGATGCCAGTACCAGTGAAGAAAGGGAGGAAAGAGATTTTGTAATAAAAATGGATATTACTTGTTAATTTTCAATCAAAATTATTATTGATTATTAATTGGTTAAATAATTAGGTAGATAGTGGTTAGTACTAATTAATTTAATAGGGGCATTTTGGGAATTTGATAACCATATATATGCTTGCATGATCAAATTTTAACAGTTGTGTTTTGTGACAAAATTTAGAAGGGGCGGGGCGGGGTGAAGGTAATTTACTATTTATGTTGAAACTCTAAAGTCCAACCGATGCACTCCACGTAAGCGATATGAGAATTACTAGTAAACAAAGTTTTAGAAAGAGAACGAGGATATAAAAATATAAAATTGAGGGAGGGAGAGAGGGGGAGAGAACATTTTGATAAAAATTAAGTATGTGCACAAGTAGTTTGAGTTAAAGGCTTTCTCTATTGTCCTGGGATGATGCCGCCTAATTCTCGGCAATGTCGCTCTACGACGCCCGAGAATTGAAGCCGTGGGCATAAGCAACGCTCTCTTTCTATCTCTTAACTTTCTCTCTCATCCCACGCTTCGATCGAACACAAATCCTCATTTCCATTCCAACACACTGAATTCTATGTTTTGATCAATTTTCCGAAAGGATTGGAATTATTTGCACGTCAAATGAGAGCTGATCAGCTCCAGAACATACGCACAACAGAGGACGACTGATGAGTGAAGACAGATGCGAAGAAATAGGTACTGTTCAGATCATACATCCTTTTCGTTTATATGATTCAATTGTTACATTTAAGTTTTTGATCGATGTGCATCTAAATTTTTGATCACGTCCGTTTTTGTATTGCTCTCGAAATCTGATTTTCCAAAGGTAATATGCTTATTAATGACTAATGATCATGTGATATTGTGGTGATTCAGAATTAATGCTTTATTTCCAGATTGAATATCTGATACAGATTGATGTTCTCAGGATCTATACATTGAGATAAAGGACAAGTGATCATCTGGTTATAGCTTCGATTTTGACCATTTCTCAACACTTCACGGGGAAAGATCTTGTGCGCAATCAAGGATTTGTTGTTCTGTTCATATGCGGAAGAGGTTGTTTACTTAAGGATATTTGTTCTTTTGTGTATGCTGGTAAAATATTTGATTTGTTCGGGAGTTGTAGTTGTTGACATGTAATGGCTCTTTGGTTATAGAGTCTGGTTGTAATTAAGGAAAAGGGAAAAAAGGATCACAGGAATTATCTAGATTGGTTTTCTTGAAAAATTAGTTGAAGAACACACAAGATTTATCAGAGTAGTTGTTGAATTCAAGTTTCTGTTGTTATTGCAACGGTAGTTGGAAGTTTGAAGAAAATACTGTCTAGATAGTCGGAGGAATATTTGAGTTTGAATTTGTGTTACCAAGAGAAGTACAGAGACAGTTAACTTATATTTGAGTAGTTTTCTCACTCTTGCACAATTTTGTTCAAACTTGAGGGATGGAGAGGAGATAGAGGGTCACAACCATGAAGACATTGTTCTTATGCAATCAAATAGAGGCATGGACTTAGCTGATATGTTGACCATTAAGGCACCTGGCCCTTCTGGTCAACAGTTCCAGCGAGAATCAATGTCTTCTATTTTGGAGGATGGCGTTGCAGCAGGAAAATCTGTAAATAAAAATATATCTGTACAGACAGGTGAGGAATTCTCCCGCAGAGTTTCAACAGGACCATGCTGCTACAGGAAGAGTTCCCTTTGTGCCTATGTCTCTGAACCATGAGAAGAAAATTGGATTAAATAGTAATCAGAACCATCAGATTAGATATGAGGGTCTTACAAGAATTCTTGGGTTGAATAGGATGGATTCTGAGTGTGGTTCTGACATAACTGAGTTTGCTTCTGCACGAGGGTCTTCTGAGGAGATTGAGAATGGGGCTCATATTAATAAAGAATGTGAATGTGGTAAGGAAGATGGTCCTTGTGGGGATGAACTATGGAAAGCTTTTGGTGAAATGAAGTGTGATCAGGCTGCCATGGAAGCAGGTTCTCTGCACATAGAACAATCTGAATCCTCTCTGTGCCGCCAACCTATTGGATTAGGACTTTCAGATGGTTCTCAATCTGTCAAGATAAAATTTCTCTGCAGTTTTGGTGGTAAAATCTTGCCTCGACCAAGTGATGGGAAGCTCAGATATGTTGGGGGAGACACTCGAATAATTTCTGTCCAGAAGAATCTTTCATGGGAAGAACTCATGAGAAAGGCTTCAGGAATATGCAGGCAGCCACACACAATCAAGTACCAGCTTCCAGGAGAGGATCTTGATGCACTTATATCTGTGTCTTCCCATGAGGATCTTCAGAATATGATAGAGGAATACCATGGGCTCGAAAAGCTTGGGGGCTCTCAACGACTCAGGATTTTTTTGATTCCAATGAATGAATCAGAAAATACATGTAACATTGATGCTAGCACCATTCAGCAGAGCAATCCTGGTTACAATTATGTTGTTGCTGTGAATAGCATTGTTGATCCTAGTCCCCATAAAAACTATGATGATCAATGTTTGGCAAGTGAAGTAAGTCACTTGAAAATGAATTTGACTCATAATCCAAGCTTCCACACAAATTCTCCTTCTTCTCTGCTACCCTTAGAAATCAGGGATGGCTGTGGTGTCTCACATCCTACTTGGTTTATGAATGAATCCCAAAGTTTGATCATGTCTCCGACTCATTCTCCTCCTCCTCCAGTGCTGGCTTATCAAGAATCTGTGAATAGTGGTCACACCCAATTATGTAAGGAAAATACATTCTGTGGCTGTAATGACAGCACCAGCTTGTTCAGCACTGCTCCATTGCCCCCTGAAATCTCTAACAGCGATATTACTGGATATGGTTGTCCCTCGTTTGAGGCACTGACGAATAAGATGTCCTTTCCTCATGAACAAGATGATATGAGCCAGCCAACCAAATCAAGTGTAGTGCATTCTCACAACCACAATCCCAGTAGAGATTTTGTGGCTTCTCCCATATTTGATCGAATTGATAGCAATTCTGATAAATGCTCTTTTGAGAGGCCATTGCTCAAGGAGAGGACAAATTATTCCGTAAATCCTATCTCACATCTTGATAATCCAGTGAGTCCATGGTCGGTTTCCAACGAGTCCATTGGTTCTCGTTGTGGGATGCCACATGCATTTTCTGATTCACAGCTACAGGAACAAGGAAGGAGGTCTGCATTTTCTGATTCACATAAGCAGGAACAAGGAGGGAGATCTGCGTACTGCTCACAAGAAGGAATGAGCCCATCTTCGCCCTTAAACTTTGCAGCACCACCGCTATCCTCACTGGTGGTCTCGGCAGCTTTGCAGGAAAAGCCAGTTCAACTGCACGAAAACATTGATGTTGTCAATCCTCAATTCCAGATTAAGTTGCTAAATGGAGAGCCAACTTTCTCTCCCAGTAGGGCAGATCTGCTGAACTTTCCTTTAGCATCAGAATCATTGAGCAAAGTTGAACTTACTCCAGGGCAGAATAAGGATAGTCACAATGGAAAAAACCATTATTATGGTGAAATGATGAATGACTTTGATGCAAAGGACCCTCTTTTGCGACAGGGTGGGAAGCTTTGTGATAGTAGGTCAGCTAATACAACTACGGAAGATATGAACAAATCACCAAACCTAAGGCGTGACCCAATTTGTTTTCTTGGAGTTGACACTCCAACACAAGATTGGCAAGCTTCTTGTCATATGGTTCCCACATCATCGGCAATGCACTTAAATCCTTTTGCAGATACATTGATGGAGCAATTCCAAGAAATTCAAAAGGAGAAAGGCCCAGCGAAGTATATTGTCAAAGTACAAAAAACTGTGAATGATCAGCAGCATGTTTTGACAGGAATGATGGGTGGCGAACAGAGGAGTGACATCTCATGGGCCAAGAACACAAAAGTGGCAGTGACGATTCAAAGTTCCAAACAACATACTTATCATGACAGTTCTGAATTATCTGATTGCCTAGTTTCTCATGTGTCTCCTCCTCAAGTACCTGTTGCATATGAGACGGATATGAGTCTCCAAGAACCCATGCTGATGATTTCCGAGGAATTGCACCGTGATGCAGTTCATAATGAAGCTGGCCAGCACATGAACTTGCATAAAACTACTTTGGCACCGATTCCACCAAAAGATGGCTGTTTTAGGTGGGAAATTTCTCTCCTTGATGATGACTTTGTCAATTACTCTGATCAAAAAGTTGAAAAGTCAAGCATTGGAGGATGCTCTACTGAGGAGCAAAAGTTAAAAGATATTCCCATACGTAAACATAATGAGCAAAATCCGCAAAATTTTGTGGGATATGTAGAAGATCTGAATAATAACATATCTCCAGGCATAAAATCTTCCATTGCAACTGTCCCACACATAGTTCATGCAATCGGGAGCAATAACAAATCCCTTACTGCAATGGAAGCTGGTAGGATCATCTTAGAGTCTGATTCTGAGGTAACATTATCTGGCAATGTGAATTCTGGACTTCATACTATATTTGTCAAAGCTATCTATGGTTTAAAGTGGCTGCTCTTCTTTCCTGTAGGATGCCAAAGCTGATGATGCAGGTGAGGATGAATTCATTAGTGATGCTATGATGGCTGAATTGGAAGCTGATATATATGGTTTGCAGGTACTGCTCTTCTGATTTACTAATTTCAAGGCATAGAATCTTGGTAGAATGATTTGGTCTCGTCTCCATCCTTTGGAGCAAAAACAAGAGAGATGAAAAAAAAAGGAGTTGGACAAGGAGAATTTTATTGTCTGGGTCAGTTCTTTACCATTTAGTTGAGGGCAAATTTCATTTTACCCCCTTGTGGCCTTTGGTTTGGCCCTGTAGCATTTTACATCTATGGGCTGTAAAAGAACATGCATATAGGATCCACATCCAGCATGCACCGTTGTTTGCATTCTTTTCCTTATGGACGTCTAAGTCCCCTATCCTACACATTCCTTCCTCTTGCTCTCCGAGTTCAAGTTTTCGTTTGAAAGTCTGTGTTTGCTGGCTCTTTATAGGGCTAGATAAACTGGTTTTGAGTTGAAAATTTAGTTATGTTCCATTATAGTGTAGGCTTGCTCAAGGCATCAAATGTTATCAACTAAACAATATTCAGTGGACAGCTCATACAGTGAGTTGCTAATTTAGAGTTCCAGGTTTTTTGGTCTTTAAGTTTAGCTGCCATATGCAACTAAAAATTCCAGATGCTGATATGCAGATCATAAAGAATGCTGATCTTGAAGAAATGTGTGAGTTAGGATCTGGCACGTATGGAACTGTTTATCATGGGAAATGGCGAGGAACAGATGTTGCTATTAAGAGAATAAAAAAGAGTTGCTTTGCTGGGAGACCATCTGAGCAAGAACGGTTGGTGGGTCCTTCATACAATCTCCTCGGCATTGAGTCTTGCCGGTTTAGTTTCCTTTTTCCTAATATTTGCAAACCTTCATTATTATTTTAACGCATATAACATATTGAAATTGATGACCGTTTTGCTTGTTCCAGACCAAAGACTTCTGGAGAGAAGCACAGATCCTTTCACATCTTCACCATCCAAATGTGGTTGCATTTTATGGAGTGGTACCAGATGGAGCTGGGGGGACCTTGGCAACTGTAACTGAATTCATGACAAATGGATCACTTAGGCACGTTCTCCTTAAAAAGGATAGGTGAGTAAACCTACATTTGCTTTTAGTATAGTTGGCCTATAAATATTCATTATTTATACCTTTTTGGGTTCTTGGAATTCTTAATGCAGATCACTCGACCGTCATCGAAAGCTGATAATTGCCATGGATGCCGCTTTTGGCATGGAATATTTGCATTCAAAAAATATTGTCCACTTTGACCTGAAATGTGATAATTTGCTTGTCAGCCTGAGGGATCCGCAGCGTCCCATATGCAAGGTAATTGGGAAACCATAGCATCTTTTAAATCCATAAAGTGTAGTACGCGCATTCTATCATCACCTACTGATATTAGTCACTCTTGATTTTGTTGAAATGAATTTATCGGATGGAGTTGTCACCACGTGAACCAAAATAATTTATCAATCTAGAGCACTAAACAATGGGTTGTTACCCAGTTTCCTCCCCACTAATCAAGGGTACTGGGAGAGGTGTACACTACTGGTATAGACCTAGTCTTCCACATTAGTTGCACAAATTGTTAGTAATCTAGTTTTTTTGCCTGATGCTGTGCACCTATAACACTGATAATGAAACTAAATAAAAAAAATTCATTTTTATATCCCACATATTAATAAATTGTGTAATCCACCCGCTGGGCTGTGTGTACGAGATAGGTATTTGGGCAGAAATGATCCATAACAAACTCTTTTTGATTTGTCTATGTAGAAGCCATAAAAGATAATGAGACTGGTATTTTTGTGGGAATTCGTGCAGATGTGTCTGGTCCAATGTTACTTATTATATCACAGCACTTATTTCCTCAAACTGTGTTGATGTTTTATGAGGTCTCTGCAGGTGGGTGACTTTGGACTATCAAGAATTAAACACAATACTCTAGTATCTGGTGGTGTGCGAGGAACTCTACCGTGGATGGCACCAGAATTGTTGAATGGTAACAGCAGCCGGGTGTCAGAGAAGGTCAGAATAACTCTCTCATTCTTTACTATGAAACATATAAGCAATGTTAGGAAATGAGGATGCCATGTAGAATAAGCAATATGGGTTTGGCTTGGCAGGTTGATGTCTTCTCTTTTGGCATTGCAATGTGGGAGATCCTGACTGGGGAAGAACCTTATGCAAATATGCATTGTGGGGCTATCATAGGTAAGTTAAGTGACATTGGTGCTAATAATAAATAGTAACAATCTTAAAGCAGGAAATCATAACATCTTCTGTTGCAACATTTTTTATTATTTAATATGACTCTCATGATCTCCGGTGCATAAGTTTGTCTTGAAATTTACTGTCTTTTGCATATGCACCGAGAGGGAATACAATATCCCCCCCCCTCCCACGCGCGCGCGCTTTGGGGAACATTATATTTAAAATATTTGGGTGTGAAGACTTCCAAATAACTCAAAACACCAGTGACTGAATCATCTACCAACTAAGCTCAGGAATTTAAGCTTGAAATACTTGTTCAAAAGCCAAATTGAGGTTGAACTAACGTGAAGGAAATCAAACGGAGTTAGGCAGGTCATATTCTTGGCTCAGCTTGGCATGGTTTTGAACGTACTGCCAGGAACCATGGAGGCGAAGTGAGGTGGCATTCATTTATGCTTGTGCAATTTCTTTCTTTCTTCTTCTTTTTGGGTGTTTTTCTTTGTATTTTACAATTTCTTTTGTGTGAGGGAGTTGGCTCTTTTTGCCAGTTTTGAGCTTGGAAATCAGATTAACGCCTTGTGTATTACGCTAGTTTTGCCATTTTGTGACGAATCTAGTTGTATTCAGCTTTGAACTTTGGGATCAAAGTCAAGGTAAAATATCCTATGGTGTGTTTGGAGCTGAGTGTTTAAGAAAATTAAAGTTACTGGGCATTTGAATATTAAATGTATGTTAAGTGGTCCTACAATAGGGTGCTTAAAAATGCTTTAGAAAGGGGATTATTTGAGAATTCCGTGTAGAAATATTGGAAAATAAGGATGAAGACAAATGAAAGAGAAAAAGGACTTACAGATTATCGTTGTTTTTAAGAATGTACTTGTTATCGTTTGATCCTCCATAGTGCCCATTTTAGGGGAAGTTCTTGTAGATGCTTTTAGAGCCTTTTTCATCGAAGGGCTTCTTTTCGCTTAATTCAGGAATTAGTTGAAGTGGTGTTTCCTGCCACAGCCCCAACCTCAAGTGAGTAGGTTCAAATTCCAACTGAAACTTAAAGTAAAACAAAACATAGCGTGTATTGGGAAGACCATTTTAGGAAAGAATTTTTCTTCCTAAACATGGATAGTTTGGGTATATAAACTGCTACCCAGTTCGTGTACGGCCTTGGACACTTGGAAATTAGCTTCTTGAAATTATAAAATCTTGATCTCATATATTTTTTCTTTAGCGTAGTTGAACATTGGTGATTGCCAACTTTCTTTTCCATGTTTGTTCATGGACTTTGAATGTAGGTGGGATTGTGAAGAATACTCTTCGGCCTCCAATTCCAGAACGGTGTGATACGGAGTGGAGAAAGCTGATGGAACAGTGCTGGTCATCCGATCCTGAAGCTCGGCCATCATTTACCGAAATTACAAAAAGGTTGCAATCTATGTCTGCGGGACATTGTAATCTGGTGAGACAGATGAAGCATAACATAACCGTGTAAGTCCAAAGAACAAATATGCACCTGCTTCGTTCTTCAGGGGCCAAGATATTCAGGAACCCTACAATAGAAGCTAGGGTGGAGAAATTTTGGAAAACTCTTGTACGTTTCTGCTTGTGTTGAAGGTATGATGTTTATGTGTTTCCGTCAGTTTTGTTTAGTTATGTTTTTATCTATTTTTCCATTCGTTCATTCTTTTTGAGATGGAAATGCTTGCGGATCATGGTACAAATTTGTCAAGTGTAGCTTTATTGTTCTAAAAAACCAGTGTAAATATGGACACAACCAAAAGAAACAGTTTTTCTTGCGTTACTGATTATCATTTGAGCTTTCTGTGACCGTTTTAGAAACAGCAATTTTATATTTATATATGCAACAGATATAGGTATGAATCTCATTTACAAGATATATTGGAGTGTGTGAGAAAAGCTTCTCATCAGCTACAGAGAACAAAAGCTTCGCGCCATGTCTTATTTGTTATAAAGAAAAGGAAAATATTATCGAAGATATTGCAAATGGAATGTGAGATTTCAAACTTAATCTGATGATGTTATAACAAAATGTTGTTATTTGAGATTGATACAAGCAAAGTTCAATACGGTATTTCTTTGGGTATTGTAAGTTGTAACGAGGCTTCTTCAGTCAGCAAAATTAACTTATTTTCTTAGTCAACCTTGTGCGATTTGTTAGTGTGAAGGGTTTGACTACGGTAGTCTTGGAAACCGCTTATCTCTTTTCAGTAGTGTGAAAACTGAAAAGTAGTGGTGGTTAAGACGCAATTTCCATGCAGGAGAATATAGGGACCATGTTTGGTACAGAATTCACATGAAATTTAACAGACAAAAGAAGAAAGAAAAAATAGAGTTAACATGAAACAACCTTGTAAACTTATTTTTGAATTCTGATACCTGTAGACTTATTTTTACTCTTTTTTTTTTTTCTGAGAAAAAACAACCTTTAGCAAGAGGTCATTAAAACAACTGACAACCTTAAGATTTAACAACAAAGTAATGATCATTAAAACAACCGACAATCTCTTACAAGCCACCTTATGAATCTTTGGGAAAACACCAAACAGAAAAACACAAAAGAAAAAGTTGGCAGCCACAAGCCATTAATGATTTTGAGTTTGTTGTTTGACTAGAGAACCACCCTGAGTCCCTTCACACTTGAGCATTTTTCTTGTTTTTCATTTGTCTATTGTCCGAAGGAAGTTCAATAGTCTCCCTACAAAAACTACAAATGCGGACAACTTCCATGTTTTTATTTTATTTTATTATTATTCATATATCTTTGGTTGGTGCAAATTACATAAATTACTTACCAAGTTTACACACTTTTATATTCTGTCTTAAAATTTTTAGAATTTACAAACAATCTTAATTTCACTGACAGTGACAGGTCTGCGACTGCTAGAGGAGGCATTGATAAAAATAAATAAACGATCATTTTATCCTTTTGTTGATATCAAATAAATTACAATACCATTCAACTGAAATCCAAATCCAAACCCCAAAAAACCTGTCCTGTCCTCCGTTCTAAGAAAAATACAAAGTTAGAAAAATACAAAATAAGAGAGATACACTTTTTATCATTAATAGAAAGTAAGAATGATATATTTTTTTTCTTTTGTGTTTGGTTGGATGGATGAAAAATAAAAATGATCAATTTTTTTTTGGGTCTAATATTAGGGGTGACAATTTAGTTGTGTGTTGTGTTAGATTTGTGTTGAATCATAAAATTATGAATTTTTTATATTTTTTGTTGAATGTTAGGTCATTTTCAAGTTTGTGTGTCGAGTTCGATTCGTGTCATCGTGTTGAGTCGAAAATTTTCACACTTCGTTAAGATGAAAAAAATATTTTTTTAATTTAAAATTTAAAATTTTATTTTTATTTATTTTTTTTATATATATATATACATATTTTATCATTGTATTTTTATATGAAATTAATGTATACATAATATATAGACAAATAAGATACACCTCAACATAAATAATTAACTTTTCATCAATTTTTTTTTTTTTTTTGATTTTGGAGGGATTGATTTTTGTGAGTTGGAAGAAAAATTAATCTATCAATTTTTCCATCCTTATCAAACACAATATTTTATTTATCCCTCTAACTTTTTATTTTTCAAATTTTATATTTTTTTATTTTTTCATCGTACCAAACGAAGAATAAAAGCCCTATCCTTCGATCACTGCTTCACCCCTAGCCTGATCCCCTCCACCCCCCTCCCAAAAAAAAAAACGAAATATGATATGAGGCACCCATCGAAATATGTATTAAAAAAAAAGTTGTTATAAGTTATGTAAATCGCAGGATCGGGAAGTTAATATTTTTTTTTATATAATTTGAACATAAATTCTAGGCCTTAATATTTTTAAAAGAAACTTTCAATCCCGCCCCTTTTAGTTTATTATATTTTTAAAGATATTTTTTTTATTCCCTATTAAATTAAAAAGTATATTTTCAACGAAACCCTTTTATTTTTAAAATTTTTTACGTATTAAAATTCAGATCGATTAAAACTCGATTTAAGTTAATTAAAATTATATTTTTGTACATATTAAAATTTGAGTTGACTAAAATTCTATTCGAGTCAATTAAAAATTTTTTTAATCGAATTGAATCAAATTTTAATCGGTTCGAATATTTATTATAAATTTTAATAGACCCAAATTTTAATATGGAAAGAATGAATTTTAATAAACTTGAATCAAATTTTAATTAGAAAAAATATAAATTTTAATCGATTTGAAATAAATTTTAATTGGCATTAACAACTCAGCTATAGCTCAAATCGGATTGAATTTTAATAGGTAAAAAACCTTTTAATAGGCTTGAATTTTAACAATTAAAAAATATAAAATTTAATTAGTTCGAATAGAATTTTAATCGGTTCAAATTTTAATATGCAGAAAAATAAATTTTAATCGGATCAAATTTTCATCAAATTTTATATAGAAAAATTATTTGAAGTTTATATTGGGGTAATTTTGATATTTTAAATATTTTTTTTGGTTAGAAATTGTAGTTTAATGGCACGGGGCATAAGTGCTGTTTAAATATAAATTAGAAAAGATCTCTATGATATATATTTTGGATAATAGAAAGAGTGTCTTAAAAGATATAATAAATAAAAAAAATGTGACCGAAATGTTTACTATTTTTAATATATAAGTTGAATATAAATTCTCTATCATGGTCGGGTAGGACATGGCCCTGAATGATTCTCCTAGTCATGACAAACCCCATTGCGTAAAACGTGGAGATACCTTTGTTGAATTTCTTTTTTTTTTTTTTTTCTCCCCTTACGATCAGTGTTTAGGTTAATTTATGTTCGCTAACTAATATTTTTTTTGATTTAATTATAAACATATCATTTATGTTAAAATTAAAGTATTTATAATTTTTTTATAACTTAATCTAATAAATTATCAAATTTTAAATTCCGAATTTAAAGTAGGTTGTAATTATCAGTTAGATTACTCGGAGTTTTCGTTGAATTTCTTCTAGTCATAAAGTTCCCACTTCCGCCACATTCACGGTACATTCAACTGAATTTCGCAGCGGACTGTGTCTTGGTCTTCTTTTAAAGTAGAACAATAATGGTGGCTGTCACTGTCTGGTTCATCAGATCTATATAATGTGCTTAGTTCTGAGGCTGAACAAGACTAAAACTTACATTTTTTAGTGAGAGAAAGTTAAGAGAGGGATAGAGGAATGGAGAAAGCTATCAACAGACAGAGGGTTCTGCTGGAACATCTACGACCCTCTTCTTCTTCGCCTCATCACACCCATGAATCTTCTCTTTCTGTGAGTCTATCCCCTATACTTTCATTTAGTCTTGATTTCACCCAGTGTAGTGTTCTTGAATTTCAAATCTTAGGATGGTCTGGAATACCATAGTGCATGATGGTTTACACCAGATTGGATTGTAAATTTGTAATATTGCCAAAGATTGATTCTTTCTCACTGGGTGTCGTTTAATCAAGTTTATTTTTTTCTTTACACTTCATATAGAATTTTATTTTTGCTGATTAATTTCTGTCTTGCTTCTTTTTTGGTTCATTGGTCTTTTGTGCTCCCCCCCCCCTCTCTTCTGTTCTTTTGCATTCGTAACCGAGGTTTTTCTTATGCACAAAGCGGATTACTTGACTTATACTAATTGAACTTCTTTGCAAAGCTGCAATTATCTTGATCATTTAAGTCCATCTCTCTCTCTCTCTCTCACATAGTTTATATGCCAGGCTTCAATTTGTCTAGCTGGGGATAGCGCTGCATATCATCGGACAGCTGCTTTTGGAGATGATGTTGTGATTGTGGCGTAAGTTTCTTCATTCTGAACATTTGGGCAATTAAAATAACTTTTTGGTGAAATATATTTTATCTATTTTTGTTAATTAACTTCCCCTTTTTGTTAAATGATTGTGTGTATATATCATGTCTACCAGAGCATATCGGACAGCCATTTGCAAATCCAAGCGTGGGGGCTTTAAGGATACCCTTCCGGATGATTTACTTGCTTCTGTTCTGAAGGTTGGATCTATTAACTGTACTTCTACAGTTCCACTCATTGGAAATGAATTTCTGTTTGAATCTGACAAAAATTGGAGCCATGCTTTTTTGAAGAAAGAATTCATGTTCTTTCTTTTTTCACTTGGTGCAATTTTTTGACCTGTCTTGTACCTTCTAATGTAGAAGTTGTTTGTTGTAGGCATTGCTAGAGAAAACAAATCTGAACCCTAGCGAGGTGGGGGATATAGTTGTTGGTACAGTTTTGGCACCAGGATCAATAAGAGCAATCGAATGTAGGATGGCAGCATTCTACGCTGGTTTTCCTGGTAGTTTTTCCTTTTCCTTTTCCTTTTTCCAGTGGCGGTGTATGCTTTTTTTATGAATTTTCAGGACCTTAGAAACCGCATTGAACTGATATGGATCAATTGCACTGTTCTACCACACAAAGTTGGTCTTTAAAATGGACTGATTGCAAACATAGATAAAGTTGTTAATTTAAAAGAATGAAATGGTCTGGTTTCATCTACCTGCATTGTCTAAGATCTTCACACCCCCTTCCCAGCCAATTTTCTCTCCCATTTCTTTATAGTTTGTGGTTCTGCTGACTTTGATTTATCTGTTTTATCCAGAAACTGTGCCTATTAGAACTGTCAATAGACAATGTTCATCTGGCCTCCAGGCGGTTGCTGATGTAGCTGCCTATATAAAAGCAGGATTTTATGATATAGGTAAAAAGAAGTTTTGCTAATATGGCCTCTCTAAGCGATTCCTCAGTCTTTGTCTGTAATCATTATTATTTTATGAAGGCATTGGGGCTGGAGTAGAGTCCATGACGGTTGATCAGATGGGCGGGGTTCGCCAAGTTAACGCAAGGGTATGTTGAAATCCTCATCTTTAAAATAAACTTGCTTGTGTGAGGACAGGTGCCTTCAATTGGATATAATTCCATTAATAGGTGGACATTTTCACGCAAGCCCGAGACTGTCTTCTTCCTATGGGCATTACTTCCGAAAATGTTGCAGGACGATATGGTGTGACACGGCAAGAACAAGACCAGGCTGCCGTAAGTTTCAGAAATTCTTGATCATGTCATTGTGCACAAATTTTTTGGGCAAGTTTTAATCCCTTTGATTTGAATCAAATAGGTTATATCTCATAAGCGTGCTGCTGCAGCAACTGCATCGGGAAAATTTAAAGATGAAATTGTCCCAGTCTCTACTAAGGTAGTTAATAACTGAGTTTCTCCTTGTGACCAGTTTATTTTTCTCTTGAATGGTTTTTAACTGCTGGTTATATGTCAAAGATTGTGGATTCCAAAACTGGAGAGGAGAAGCCTGTTACGATATCTGTGGATGATGGCATTCGGCCAAACACAAACATGGCAGATTTGGCAAAGTTGAAAACAGCATTCAAAAAGGATGGAACCACAACTGCTGGTATTCGATAATGCCATATCTGTGAAAGATTTCTTTGTTAAGCTAAGCCATGTATTTTAAAAATTTGACCTAAAATATCCCTGTGATTTTCTAGGGAATGCTAGCCAGGTAAGTGATGGTGCTGGAGCAGTCCTCCTCATGAAGAGAAGCCTGGCTATGCAGAAGGGACTTCCCATTCTTGGTGTGTTCAGGTATAGTATTTCCTCATAAGGAACATATGGCTTACAAGTGAGCGTCATGCATTGCATTGGGGTTGAAAAACACTATCATATGCTAAAGTTCGAAATGCATCAAAGACTGCAATCGGTGATTAAAATAGCATTTCTGAATTTAAGATGATGCTTCTGCAAAATTCACAGTTGATTTGCTTCCACATAAAATTGTTTCACTGAAAACCCAAGAAACTCCCAACCTAGGTGGAACTGAATTCTGTCTTTAGACAAGTGATTGTTTGGAACTAATGACATTCTTTTTTTGAACACTAGAACAGTTTCTCCCAGGAAAATGTCCTTAAATATTGTGAATGGTCAAATGTTGGCTGTACTCCTGTTTCTGGACTCTTTAATGTCTCCTAATGGTCATTTGCATTGTGCATGTCCTATGCTGGACGTGTTAGAATTTCATCTCCTTTTGGCCATTTGAGATCCCAATGGCAGAAGAATTTGGCGTTCCTGTAGATGCTCACTTTGTCTTGTTTAAAGTGCATATCATGTTGTCAATAGCCCCAAAGGCATGGTCCACTTGCAGATATTTCGCATTAGGGCCATTATTCAAAGAGGGGGTGGGGTTCAAGTGCAATAACCTTTGGTATAATTGCATAGGGACCGTAAATAATGCTGCAGTCGTCCTTGCCCCAATGCATGCAATTTACAATGGGAGTCATGAATGGAACTAGTTAGTTCTATGTTTGTTCTTTTCATGGCTTCATTTCAATTAAAATCTCTTTGTTCTTTTACTGGGGCAAATGTTGGCTTCATAATTTCATGATTGCTGCCTTACTCCCCAGATGCTGGACTCATAAGTCATGGGAAAAGAATTAAACTTCTGTTGATCTATGCGTAAAGATAAAAAACGAAATGAAAAGCTTATGATCTTGAGCAAAATATATCAGAGGGCAGAGAAAAACTTAGGATTTTGGGGGTCAAGTATGAGTAGGTTACGATGGACTCCCTCCATGGACTGTGCTACAAAAAGTACAAAGTTTGGTTCGGAACTTGTTTTGGTCATTCTTTTGTCATAAAAGGTCACTATCCTCTCTGTTATTCAAAGGCATTGGAAAATGTGGTCTGGTTACAAACCTAGCATAGCATTTGGTAGTATATGGGCAAAGTGTCTATCATCCTATTCGAACTCCTTGCCTCATGGTTGTTGGACATTAGCCCAACTCTTTTACGATGGCACTAGATAATGGGCCCTTGGCAATGCTCTTTTATGTGTCTGAGATTTGTTTCAAGGGTTGTTTTTGGTGATTTGCTTTAATATGTTGAAAGCAATTTCAAGAGTCTGAATCATAGATAAAAGAAAATTATGGCCTACCAGGATTTATTTTGGAATGAAGATATCAGCATCAGATGAGCCTCTTTTTTTAAAAATACCTTTTTTTTGCTCCCCACATAGGAGTTTTGCTGCTGTTGGGGTGGATCCTGCTATTATGGGCGTTGGCCCAGCTGCAGCAATACCAGTGGCAGTGAAGTCTGCTGGTCTTGAGCTTGATGATATTGACCTTTTCGAAATAAATGAGGTACTGGGCTTGCTTGCAGTACAATATTTACACTAGGAGTATAGACAGAACCTGAAACCATGCAATTCTAATGTTTTTATGCAGGCCTTTGCATCCCAATACGTATATTGCTGCAAGAAACTAGAGCTTGATCCTGAAAAAGTCAATGTCAATGGAGGAGCAATGGCTCTCGGTCATCCTTTGGGTGCTACAGGTAATTATGATCACATATATTTCAGAAAAGCTGGCATATTTCAGTATATTTTCGTTACCATTTGCCCTCAGATTTCAATGAATCATCGATTATATGTTTGTTCTTGCCTGGACTTGCTTGTAACTTACCAGTATTAATATCTTTTTTCCTTGTGCAATCAATTATTCGATACTAAATAATATACGAGATGTTTTGTGCTGATATTGAAGAATTTGGAAAAAGTCTGGAGAACCAATGTAGGCCTATTGCCAGTTTATTTTATAGCTAATACTAGTGTATTTGCTTGGCTATTATGTTACATCAACACAGATGTAAGTACCTGCTATTGTATCAATGATGTCCAAGTGATATTAGCATAGGCTTGAGAGGCAAAAGTTTAAATCGAGTCTGGAGTCTGTTGCATCAACTTTAGCATTGAAAAATATTAGTTTATACACCCGTTTGAAACAGCGATTGTCTGCTCTGGTTATTATAAAGATTAGATACAATGTACTGCTCATTGATAAGGAAACAAATGATTTAAGTTAAGAGTTGCTGGTTTTTTTAGGCAAATATCAGATGAGTTTTTGACAACATGAAAACACTGCAAATAGTGAGAAACTACTATACCTTCTAGCAATTACAGTTCATGAAACTGATATGAAATCAATCCTAAGACTGGTAACTCTAACCGAAGGCATAGCCAACCTTTTCCCTCAAATAATGGATAAAACTGGTGTACATAATCTTAAGAGTTAATACCACCCTCCTATCTTCAATCTCAGGTGCCCGATGCGTTGCAACTTTGCTGCATGAGATGAAGCGCCGTGGCAAGGACTCTCGCTTTGGCGTGATTTCCATGTGTATAGGTCTCTCTCTCTCTCTCTCCACATTTCCTTCGGTTGTGTTTGCAACTAACTATATGTGTGCATCCATGAGTGCAGGCTCTGGCATGGGGGCTGCAGCTGTATTTGAAAGAGGGGACTGTGTTGATGAGCTATGCAAAGCTCGAGTGGTCAGAAATAACAATCTTCTATCCAAGGACGCACAATACACACAGTAACTAATCGATACCAATTGATTGAATCCCTTGCGTACTGGGAAATTAATAAAACTGTCTAAAAGACGGTTCAAGTTTGATATGGTGACCTTACTGTGGGGTCTATAGAAGTTCTTCTGCAATTCAACTCTTGCTGCACTATGCGATAATATAGATGTACACCTCCCCTTAATTATAGTATGAAATCATCAGTCTAGCTACTTTATTTATTCTCACTCTTGACAATTTAGGGTGCTTTTGGAATTGGATGATTTCCTTGCTTGTGTAAGATATTTCCTTCTTGTTCGAACGTAAGGTTTGGAAATTGGAAGTCATTTCATCTAAGTCGGGTAAAACAAACCTCAATGTCTTACAATTAACGGGGCATCACCGACCCAAATGATATGTCACATGTTTGAATCCAGAATCACAGCCATACCAACTGGTTTGCAATTCAGTAATTCATCTCAAAATATAATTTTCCACAATGTAAAATACCAAAACCAGCTAACACAACTGAGGAAGATTTCCTGTACAATTTCTACCCCCCCCCCCAAAAAAAAAAAAAAAAAGACTTTTACCCCATCAATCTTCAACGCCAAATTAGAAGTCAAGGCACTGACCATGCAAGCGGCAGACTCAAATACAATGCATTTCCACAAATTAAGTTCGCCTTGATCACTTCCGCACACAGAAAGCACAAATTCTACACACATATTGAAGCAGCAATTGTAGTAACCCATATCCTATCCTTTGCACATCATCGGGAGTACAGAGGCAAAGATTCACCATTTACACATCTCTATATAACAACTGGAACTTTGGAATTCGCTCTGGGGGCAAGGGACAACTCACTATAAGCTTGCCTTTCATGGCCCCTCGGAATATTGCCTGCAAGGAAATAGAAAAAATATTAAACCCAAAGACAAATTGAACACAGCTACTTCACCAGCTCAGGGAACATGACATTTCGAGCAATGCAATATTATCTAACAGACAGCAGAAGAAAATTATCACTTGCAATATTGACTTTGAAGACAACATCCAACGATGCTCTTAACCCTCTTTACTCAAGGTGAATAACAAGTACAAAATAAGAAAAGAAAGTGCAACAAAAAGGATGAGAGAATTTTTTTGAATTCAAGGTAAGGGAACACTATACCTAGCAGGTAACCTTCAATATAATTATCTGCCAATGCCTTTCACAAGAGTCTAGTTATAACCTTAGCCAGGATAGGACACAAGATGGCAGAAGGAGGAATCCTTGCCCCAAAATCTACCGATGCAAGATGTTTTTGAGGGTTAAAGAACTCAGGACTCTTATATGACAAACAATGAAATAATGCTTGCTACTTTCTTTGCATCAAATTTAGCATATCGGCAGATGCATACCTCTACAACATCAACGAAGTCCTGTTTTCTGTGAAATGCACCAACCCACTTAGTGTGATCTGAGCTCCTGAGTAGCAATTAATGACAAAAAGATGTGAATTCCGGTGTCAACCAAAAAAAAGAGACCTGATGATAAAGACAAATCATGTCATTTTCCAATATACATGAGATTTAGCACGAATGGATTGGACCGATGGAATTGCCCTAAATGTTTAAGGTCACAAATCAGAATAATACATTAGCAAGACTTTATCTCTTGAACAACAAACTGTTTTGTGAGGGTAGAGATCAGAATTAAAAAAAAAAAAAACTTTTTATAAGGGATATTTTTCCTTGGAGAACTCACATTGTTGAACATATAGATTGCTTCATCCCAAAGTAGAAAAATGTCTCAAGGCCCATCTAAACTATCACTTCAAAGTTAGGCATTTTGGAGTAACTGAGAGAGAAGAACAACATTTTAGCACTAGGTAAAAATGTTCAATCAAGGAACTAGTTAAGCCCCTTGGTCACTTCCATTCTTTCCTTCATTTTTTCCCTTCCCTCATTGTATTCTATGAAGTAATAGATCCACTGGGCAATGACATGATTTATCAACGAAGCAACGAAGTATCAAACAGTATGAAAGATAGAGAAGTCTCAAATAATTATTCAGTTTCTTCATTTCATTCAAAAAAATCACCAGCATATGAGTCCAGTTTTTTTTGGTAAGTTATGTGAGTCCAGCTTCAAGTGATACGAAGAAACCAAGGTATATGGATTCCTAAATCTGTACTAATAGTAATTCCCAGATTCATCAGGGATGTAGTTGTTACCCACATACCCTCAACTCAGAATTTTAAAAATCCCAAAATCATTTCTCACCTTTTGTCCCTTTTGTGTGGTGTCAGCAGGAGACGAAGACACAACCACATCCAACCTAATATCATTATGCTCTTCACTCATACTAGACAATACTTTTGATACATACCAGAAGGAAAGAATGTTGGTCCCCAATGTTGGATTTTCTTAAATGTAAAATGAAGCATTACAGCAAAAGACAGGGTCAAGACTGATTTAGAGGCCAGTTCTTTATGGTTCTAATAAATACAAAAAAGAAAATCCTTTATATATTGCTGTAGACTGGTAATCGCAAACAACATCATACTCAATTTAGAAAACAGCAGAATCAAATCAACTTGCTGCAGAGAATGCGCTCTCTATAAGGTGCCCCAGATGACATTTCTTCTACTTCTTCTTTCCAAATTTTTCATTGTTTAACTCATGTCAGGTACGATCAATTAAACTCATAGCTAAAAATGCGAACTGTTCACAAAACCCATTTGAAAAACTGTACGAATGACTGTTTAATGAGAAGAAGTCTTACCCTGAATCCATCTTCATGTGGTGAGCATTGAAGAAAAAAATCGTGGATGGGATCAATGTGATGTCAAAATACTTGACATAGACTTGAACGTCCTCGGAATCAATATCTACCAATGCCACTGTTGCAAACTTGGACACCTCCCTCGAGGATTTCGAAAGCTGTTACTCATACATCAATAAGAAAAACAAAATTACATATTATTTTCGCAGACGTAAATGAATCACATTCTTATTGGGACGCATATAATAATAAGGCAAAAAAAGAAAAAGAAATAAAAGTAACAGAATTGAAGATATGGAACAAATAACGAAACCCTAGGAAAGAAATGGGGAGCTTACAATGTCATCGAGTTGGAGGCAGACGGAGTCGGATGCTCGGCCAAAGCGAAGGACGAGGACTTTGTCAATGGTGTCTCGTATTATAGAGTCCACTTCTTGCTTCTTCGTTAGCGTTCTCAGTAGGTAGCTCATCCTCTCTCTCTCTCTCTCTATTTTTTGGGGGGCGGGGTGGGAATGGAATTTAAAGAAAGAAAGATGGAAAATAGTTAGAGTAAATTACATGTTTATCCTCTAAATTATACCCTGATTTCTATTCAATTCCTAAACTAAATTTTGTCTGAATTTTCCACTATTAAATTTGATTCAATTTAATCCTTCCGCCTAATTCTATTAAGAATTTGACAGAAAAAAAATGCATGCGCCTCTCACATGATTATTTTGTAGGGATACTTTTGACAATATATCAATTATTCAAATCTCCAAATTCAAATTAATATCCAAATTTCCAAACCCAATATCCTGATCTGCTACCATCCTTCTTCTCCTTCACAAGCTAAACCCTAATTTGAAACACCACCACCACCAATCGAGAAACTCGTGTCCGGGCCCAATTTTGGGTTGGAATTACACAATTGTTGTAGCTTAGATTGGGAGTAGGTTGGGTACACGGTCCGGAGGTTGGATTTAGATTTGGGGGATGGAGGTATTTATGATGTCCAAAATACCCTTGCACATAAGCACATGAGATGCACATGTGTCATTTTCTGTTAAAAAAAATTGACAGAAAATTTACATTAACTCAAATTAAGAAGTTAAAGGACTAAATTGAGATAAAATTTAGTTTAAGGGCTGAATTGAAACTATACCCATAGTTTGAGGGCCATGTAGGTTTGGGTCATTCGGTTAAACCCTTTTCTTCCATAACGCAAATCAAGGGCAGCGCGAGAAACCCTATTCGGCAATCCCTTCTTCACCCACTAATTCCAGTCTTGGAGAGTTGAAGAGAGAGAATCCATGGCCAACAATCCTTCGCAGCTCCTCCCATCAGGTCCATCTCTCTCTCTCTCTCTCTCTCTCTCTCTCTCTCTCTCTCCTTAGCTAACTCTATACACTTGAACAATAAGTGAATTACTGATAGAAAATTGGTATTGGGTATGCAGAGTTGATAGATAGGTGCATAGGGTCGAAGATATGGGTGATAATGAAAGGCGACAAGGAACTCGTCGGCACTCTTAGGGGTTTCGACGTCTACGTCAACATGGTCCTAGAAGACGTCACTGAATAGTTAGTACCTTTTCCTCCCAAACGCTTTTCTGTGCTTAATTTCCCAAATGTGTGCTTTTGTTTGGCAAACATTAGGGTTTTGTAATTGATCGTGTAATTTTCTACCCATGGTTCTTCTAACTGTTGTTGTTGTTTCTTTAAATTATATATTTTTGTTTAGTTTCTCAGTATTGAATTTTCACGAAGCTATACTTATCCTGGGGATTATATGTGACTTTGAATGTGCTAAACTTTGGTGTAATCGGGTGAAGTTTGATTAGTCTCGATCATTAATTTGTAATTGGAGAAATATTGAGCCGCAATTAAGATTTTTGGACTAGAAAATTTGTAAACAACCTTAGTTGAACTGAGTTCTAGCTGTCAACAATCTAATGACATCATGTACTTTTTTCTTCATACCTCGCAAATATATATAATTTTGATCATAAATTTGTTCAGGGTGCTACTTGTTTTCACTTGTAGAATATTTTTTAGTTGCTGAGGTTGAAGCTTTAGCTGTCTATGGTGGAATTGATCTATTGGTTACTTGGTTTCTTTGGAGACCTGGGGATGCAATGGGTGCAGCAGATGACTTAGCTTAACACCTGATTTGTGTTTGATGCTCATATTTATGCAATAAGGTGGTTTTCTTGTGTGTCGGTTGGAGGATGATTCTACCCAGGGAGTTGGGTATAGTCTTATGTTACATGGACTCTGAAGGTTTAAACTAGGCAAATGCTATTTGCAATCTATTTATCTGGTTGAGTTTCTGCTTATTGATCATGATTCATGTATCATTGTCATTTCTGTTGTATTATCTGTTCTTGATTTTGTATGGGGCAAAATCTATAGGAATAATTCATATTAAATATGAGCATAGGAATAATTTGTATTAAATCTTTAGCATAGGAATAATTTGTATTAAATCATGTGCATAGAAATAATTCATATTAAATATTGAAACTCTTCCTGTTGCATGTAGATCAAAGACCATCATAGTGCTACTCTTGTGAATGCAGGGTGTTGGGAACGGTGCTTTAGTTGTGTACCTATCCTTTGAGTTTATTTGCAGAAAGTGACTAATATAGTATTATTCCTGTAAAAGGCAATTAAGAGGGAATCCGGATTATAATCAACCTGATGCACCTACATCCTTTCATCATCTAGTGGGTGACCATATTTCTCAATTTCTTTTCTATTTTTTATTTTTCACTCAGTTTACTCACTGCCCATTGCTTCTTTCCATTTCCTTTTAAATTCCTACAAATATGTAAGTTTCTCAACCTACGGCTTTCTTCTTTTTCATCACACTGAGATTTAGGAATACTTCTTTCATGCGTGGAGAAGGCCATAAAAAGGCCATACCTGAAGTTTGTATGGTATTAAAGGACTTAGGCAGAGTATTCTATCTTTTTTTCATGTCATGTGGCACTCATGATACATTCAGTTCCTTCAGGCTATGCTATAATTGTGTTGTGATGCATTCCAAGGTTTAGAGCATTGTTTTTACTCCAATTTTAACAATGGAAGAAAGAAAATATAAGGTAGAAATTCCATGACTAGTAGATTATCAAATGCCTAGCCTGATTACAGCTACACTATAAAACCCTCAATGGTCCTTGGCCCATCAAATAAAAAAAATTAAAAAAATCCCTGTAAGATGGATTTCATCTTGTAAGGCCTCCACACCGAATGATGAAATGGTTGACAAATTATCAGTCATGCCTTTTTCTAGGAAATCAGAATGGAATGCAAATAATGGTGCTACAATGCTCCATTTTATTTATTGACTGAATGAACTTCATGAAAATTTAGCAGATATGTATTCGCTAAGATAGGTACTGATTGAATATTATAATTTTTTAGTTTTATTCAGAAAGCTTCAGGACTCTATTTTAGATTGATTAGATGATTTCATGCATGGATGATCTGCCTGAGCAATAGGATGAATATTTACTACAAGGAAACTCATTTTTAAAACAAGCATTGTGGGCATGTGCATTGGTTGTCCTTTTTTTTTTTTTATGTGAGCCCTTGCGACAACTGTAAATCATGGTCTTTGGGTTCCATTGAATCTATTTTTGTTGGAAGGCTTCCTTTGCTTATACCTACTCTATTTTCCTTGTGGTTCTATTCTTCTTTTACAGTGAAATCACCACTGAAGGGCGACGTATAACGAAGCTTGACCAGATTTTGCTTAATGGAAACAACATTGCCATTGTAAGTAAACATTGGTTACTCTTTGTTAACTTGGGTTAACTGGCGGCTTTTTTTGGGAACAGTGAATAGGAACAGGTTGTAACTTTGTCAATTTTGAATACTTTTACTTTTCCTAAAGGAAAATTTGAATCATAAGCAATCGATCATGCTCATGAATTTTGAATTTTAACTAGGTTTTTAGTCGAAGCGAAATACATAATGACAGATTGGGTCAGTGGGGGATTGGCCTTCACTTCTTTCTCGGCTGGAATGTGCCGCTGACTGTGGGAGATCTGATTAGGGGTTCTTATAACTGACACTGCCACATCAAAACTCCCTACAATTTCTCAATGGTTATCTAAGCTTTAAGTTATAAGCCTGAAGGTCTTGCAAAGTTGTTTCTCGTGGTGCAAGTCAAACTTAACCTGCCCTACAAAAGTAGAAACTGTTTTGATTATTTGATCCTCTAGTCTAAGTAGTTACTGCTTTGGTTACTTCATCGGTCTAAACATTTTGTGCTTTATGCAGCTGGTCCCTGGTGGTTCCCCTGATCCGGAATAAGCATCGCATCCCTTTCCCCATCTGACCTTCAAGAAAGTCTGCTTTTGCCAAATTGAGCTTTGCATGGTTGTCCAAAGGAGGCTTGGGACATGGTCATGGGAGAATGGATGTTGCGGACACTCACCATGCTGGATATTTGTGACTGTTGTGATTAGAATAGCGTTTCTATTTAAGTTCAGGTACCTTTAGCTTGTCAATACTCTACCCTGAGGAGAACAGCATATGGTAATGATTTGAATTAGAAAGAAATCTAGATTTGAAAGTCAAGTTGGATCATTCTGCGTGAATGTGCAGTCCTGATTGCACACTAACTGCAGCGGAGGGAGAAATGGAAAAAAGAAAATATAATCTGAATCATTTTCATCGGATATGTTAGCCTCTGATGAAAAATGTCTAAATGCTCGACTGTATGTTCACCTACTATTTAATGGCTACCTACTAAAGCAGATGAATTGTACCACTGCTTCTGTATTTCTTTTATTTGATGTGGCAACAAAGAGCCTGTATTGTCATTGCAACAGGAAACTGGTGAATGACTATTAGCATTTGCTTATTTATTTATTTTTTTAGTTTAATGGTTAGAGATGTCTGGGTCAGGTTGAGCGTCCTTCGTCTAATCTCTTCCTTAGTCCGGTTAAAAGTAAACCATCTATATCGGGACTAGGATATTTATGAGGAATAATAAATTCTTTATGATTTGGTCTTAAGGAATTGTTAAAATTTAAATTCAAAATGTTTGAATTTATAGTCCGTCCTTGTTAACACTTGAGCTACCTTTGGAGTTAACACTTGAACTACCTTTAGAGTGTGTATAAGTGTGAAGAGAAATGTTCTGGGTGAATCAGTGATCTGCGCCTCGTGCTCAACCGAGAGGTTCCAAGCTTGGTTTCCCACATCGGATGGGGTCAGCCATAAGCCAGATTTATCTTGTGTTAGCATGTGGAGTACGTGGCGTGGATCAGGGGGAGTAGTCGGTCGAATGCCTGAATATGTTGGTAACCCTAAAAATGTGTGTATGTGAGAGAGAAAACGTGGATTTGAGTCCCACCAGGAGAGTCAAATGGAACCTACCGACATGGGAAAAAAAATACCATTGAATCACATCAAGGTTTGGTTGAATTACAATTTACACCAAGGTTTGGTTTAATTAGAGGATGAGATGTATGTGCATGAGAGGGACAAACCCCCCTCAATGGGGACAGCTTCTTTAGTGCTCTCTTTCTAGAACTTGTCTGACCATCCTATTGAGGCCACGTCAACCTCGAATCCTACATGGAGGGGAGAGTGACACGTCAATCCACCTGGGTGTCTTCAAAACCTTTGAGAAGGAAAGGTTGAAGAAGCTCATACACATGCCAAGCCCAACAAATAAGGATTCCTTTTCTATTTTCTATGCTTACAAGTACATTATTTGAACAATAATGAAGCATGTTCCATCCACTAAAGTAAAGCCCTCACTCACCCAGTCCCCATGTGAGCCTAAGGTATCATCATTTGTGACTAGTTTTGCTAACACTTCATGACAGTCTCCTTTGTCCTAAAATATCTCCTTCCCACATGCTCAACAAACATATGTAACTTTCTTATATAGTACTTGTGGACCAATGGCCACAACCGAATGGTTTCAAGTGTTTTAATTTCATAGTCGACAATTTCATGTTGGTTTTTTTTGTGGGCTTAACTGGATTTGTATTATGAATTGTATCATGTTAAATTTATGTCTTCATATCTTGTTGTGTCTTTATGGACTTAATTCATGATGCGAATGCTAAGCTAATAAAATGAAATTCCAGAATTTTTTTTTTCTGACCTTTAAAAAGACCCCATCCCTACTAGATCAAATAGGGCTTATTATTTAATAACCAAGAGAGAAATTCAACTACGGGATAAAACCTTTCTTTACCACCATTGCCTAGTTTTACTCTCAACTAAGTGCATGCCCCGACTTCAGAAGACAATTTAACCAACCAAGTCCAAATCTAGGGACAAGGATAACCCAGTGAGGTGGTCCCATCTATAATGGACCACCTCAAATTCAAGAATTGCAGCCCTACAATTATGTGTCACAGATAGTGCCAACAGGGCCTAAGTCAATTACCTTCCCAATTAAATTGATTTTGTTACTGCTTAATCTAGTTTAACAACTCCTTAATACCCACCACATGATCAGCTTATATATAATAATCCACACTGCTTTGAGAATCACAGGCCAACCAGCCCCCCCCACCCCACTCACTGCTTGGTTGTCTCACCATCTTCTTACATTCAGTTCAACTCTCTTATTGTCTTCATGTTCCTAAAGGCCTAATAGAGTAACATCTAGCCAGACAGAGAATCTTTGGGCATAAACAGACAGCACAGATAGATCTCTTGTGTGCTGTGCTTTTGACCAGAATAATCACACCTCTCTCTACCCACCCTTCTATACACTATATAGCTTGGAGTTTTTCATAATACCAACCATAACATGCAGGTGAGTTTTATAAATTCTACGGGTATGAGTATACGCAGCAACGAGAGTCTCGTGCATTGAATTGTCGTTTATTTTTCATCTCTCCATTCACTGTATTGCATTCAAATCATGTCACTCATGCTGAATTAACAGATTCTCCAAAGGTTATTTAAAGGAGCCACTGAACCACAAAGAGAGACTAGTTCTAGTCCTACCAGCACAAAAGAAAGGGCTATTGGTAAGAGAAAGGTTCCACAATCTGATTTGAAAATATCACCAAACTTACCCATTTTACTTACCAAATCTGTTTGTTTGGTCCTTTTTTCAGATCAAAAAGCTAAATCAAAAGAAATAGTTTTGCACTGGAGACCGAAAAGGGTCAAAAAAATCAGATTGGGTTGCAGGAACTTCAATCTATTCAGTGTTCTAAGCAGAAGAGACTTAGCAAAGTCTTGTTTCAACAGCACATTTAATCTAAAGAGATTGGGAAGCTCCCATAGAAGACAACAGTGTGTTCACTCCATGAAGATCATGAAGAAGGAAGATATTGCCAGAGGACTAGGCCTTGGTCACAAGGCAGAAACGGCTGCCCATGGAGGAGGAAACAAAGTTCTACCCATTAGTGATGCAACAGCATTATCATCTGTGACAAATGGGAATGACCACAGTAATGCAATGGTGGAGAAGAAAGAGAAAGCTACGGGTGACAAAATGAAAACCATTTCCAAAATGAAGGAGCTATTGAAATGGGCTGCGGCTGCTAAGGCTGAGAAGGGAGGAAAGTACATTGGTCGAAAGGTGAGACCCTCCCCCTTCCTACCTCTCCCAGGAGGGTTGATTATACGTGTCAACACGGATATGATGCAAAATAAAAGAATTTGGAAATAATATGATTGAGTAAAACTGTAAAAGGCATAATAAATGTGTATAGTTAATACCTTAGACACGAATAACTTGTTTAATTAGTTTTATATAAGAAGTGCATGGTTTTTTTTTTAAGTTTTTGATCTAGCATTGTATTACTTGTTTTATAATTTAATTGGTTTTGGTTTGTTTTTGCCAAGGTTTGAATCAAATAGTTTTTCAATTTAGGAGAAACCCATGTTTGAGAGATATTATTCCGGTAATTTTTAATTTCCACGTTATCATTGTAATACGAAGTTAATATAACATGATTTAAACATACAATGATATGACTCGATTGATGCCAGAAGGACCCCTCTTCATGGTGGTAGGTGCCATAACTGCCCCTGTTTGTGGGCAATCATGTTGTTGTCATCTCCTTATATTCATAACCAAATCGCTGTTCATCACATTGCAAAATCTTGACTTTACTAAACAAGTGAGAAAAGTCCTTGTACATCTAGATGGTCCAAAACACACCCTAGAAGGAGACCATTATAGCAACATATTCATACATCTTGAAAAAAAAATTTAATTGACACTTTTGAACCAACTTCCAAACCTAGCTCCATGTCAACTGGCTAAAAATCTGAATTAGCTTCCTGCAAAGTTTTCAGGTTTTGTACTTTCGGAATAGAGCAAGCCTAAAAGCAGTACCAGATGATGATCAACTTAGAGACGAATCTCCGAAGATCAGCTTCAGATGGGAACTGGAAAGTTGCTCTACCACTTCATCTGCTTATCCTGCAATTTCTTTGCCTTCTTCAACTAAAAATGAGCAGACCATGAACATGCATTCTTTGAATTCCACTCCCATCCATGATAGAGTCCACAGGACAGGAAATTGGATCACTACCGACTCTGAATGTAAGGCCCCTCCCCTTTCTTTCTTTCTTTCTTCTTCTTCTTCTTCTCTCTCTCTCTCTCTCTCTCTCTCTCTCTAATATGCATATTGTGTGTTGACAGTTGTGGTGCTAGAGCTTTGAAGAGTAGGTCTAAAGGTCTGCAATGGTTGAATTACAATTGTATCAGAGTTACTGCTGCTGAATGAACAAAATGAGTTTTGTTCATTTATTCTTTCAATTTATGTCTGAATATTAGAGGAATTCAATGTAACATTAATTCAAGGATGTGAAATTTATTTGTTCAATTAGCCTGCTCTACACCAAATCTTGTATGCATCAAATCCAATCAATGTGTACATCATATACAAGAAATTGTGTTCATCAGAAACTCGTGTTGTAATCATAAGTCTGAGGGACGAGTGAATGCGTATTCAATTTTCTGACTAAGAAGTGGCAGAGCTAAGATGGAACATTGTTTTGTTGAATTTTAAAAACTCCATCCTCTTAATTTATATATAGAGGGGTACACCAAGCTCTTATGACTAGAAATCTACAATAAAACTGATAATTCCTATGGACTCAGAACCTTAATTATTCTCCAGCTTTGTGAACACCAAGTCTCAGCAGGCATCTTATTCGACAGCCAAAGGTGAGGTAAGTTCTAGGCATTATAAAGTGTGTAATATAACTTGAATTATTGAATAATATACTTTTTGTTAATTGAATAATTTACTTGACTCCTAGTATTGAAGAAAAGAACAATACTAATTTCATGATTAAAGTAGTATCGATATAATGAAGTATAATATAATTCAAATCTCAAAAGATAAACAAAATAATTTTTATTTTTCGCAGTTTAGATCTCTTTAAATTTTATTTTAAACTTAATTTGACAACTAATATTGACACCCTAAATTTAATAGGAAAAATAAGCTAATGAGGGTATGATTGAGGTGATTTTTTAAAATTGCTTCTAAGAATCATAACTTCTAATAAGTACTTAAAAAAAAAAATAGTGTTTAAAACCGCTACAGCACTCCCATTACCAGCCCCACCCCCATCCCTACCACAACCACCACCACTACCACCACTCCCACAACAACCATCACCACCATTGCCGTTGTCACCACCAACGCTGCTATCACCACCACCATTACCACCACCACACTACCACTGCCATTGTTCTAGCATCACTCCTACGACCCCAACCCCGACCTCGACCCCGACCCCCACTTTCGCTGCCACCCTACCACCACTACCACAACTGTCGCAGTCGCCACCCCATCACCATCGCCACTGGCCCACCTCCATCGTCGCCCCCATTGCCACCATCGCCATTCACCACAAATTACTACCAACGTTGTCCACCGCGATCACCCACCTCCATCGTTATCTCATTCTTATATTTATTATTACTACTATCATCATTTTACTACCATCATCATCCATTGTCAGCACCCACCACCACCATTGTTGTCCACCACCACCCTCTACCACAACTCACCACCACCTGTCGTTGCTCCCAACCGCTATCACCCACCCCCACCACACCTACCATCACCACCCGTCATTGCCCAACACTGTCGCCACCCACTGCCACCACACCTACCACCAGCGTCATTTGTTACCATCTATCACACTATCGCCCAAAAGCACCCGTCGTCACCCATCACCACCATCACAATTGTCGCCCCACCACCACTACTGTCAACCAATATCACCCATCACTACCACTGCCATTACTTATGGTTGTCGCCACCATCGTCACCCAAAACTCACCACCACTATCATCGTTGTCATCCACAGCTGCCACTATCACCATGGTCACTACCACCCACCACAACCATCACCGCCTTCAACCACCACCACTGTCACCCACCACCACTACCACTACTCACCCCAATTATTATCGGTGTTTAAATTCATTTATCTCTCCTCTATGTTTGTGATTTGATTTTGAGTATAAATACAAATATATTTATTGTTGATTATTTTTTTTATTACTCTGTACCTTTAGACACGGACAATAACTAATAATAAAATAAGTTAAGTATATGATGCCTCTTTTTTCTAGACATTTTTTTCCCTTGTGTATACTTTTTTGTCACACCAATACTAATTAATTTTTTAATTGATTTATTTTTAGAGGAATATCATTCAAAAGTGAGTCACATTTTTAAAGTCATTTGCTAAGTTGTAAAAGCCCAAATTATTTTTGCTCCTATTTAGGTATTACGTGATAAGTTTACGATAAAAAAATGTTAGTAATTTGAATGTTGTTTATTTAAGGGACCATATAAAAATATATTCAATACTTCAGAAATCAAAATAATATAATTGAAATATTGAAGACCAAAATAAAATAAACTCTATATTTTAAAGACCTCTCGTGCAATTAAGTCTATGAATTAATTGAGACTTTACTTGTTTTAGTACAGAATAACCATACTTTCATGGCTAAAGTAAGAATGTAAAACAAGTTAGGTATATGATGCCTCTGATTCTCTGTACTTTTTTGCGAATGACTACTTTATTATATTTCTATATTAATCTCTATTATTGGTCATTGCTCTGTACCATGAACCGCTTCAAGATCTAGGTTTCCTCATATAACCCAAAGGCTAATTGATTTATTTGTTTTTTTGTTCTTCTATGGAATATGAATCCAACGTGAGACACAAGTTTAAAGTCACTTGCTAAGCTGTAAAAGGAAAAAGAAAAGCATCCTAGAAAACTTGGAATTTGAGGAAATTGTGTTTGTATCCTTTATCGAAAGAGACACGCAAGAATTACATTGAAATCAAATAGCGTAAGTTGACATGACAGCATCGTCTTCTAGTATTTATATAAGAATATAACCTTCAAGCTGGCAGTGTAGAACTAGCAAACTATAATAAACCTGGAGAGCAAGCAGCCAAGCTTAGAGAAAAATGAGTTGGGTGGATGAGGTTAAAGGTGACCTCGAACTCAGAAAGAAGGGCAATGTCTCAACAGAGTTGGGGCCCTTTAAGAAACGGTCCATCTACAAAGTACCAACCTTCATTGCAGATCTAAACAAGAAAGTCTACAGTCCTCATGCAGTCTCATTCGGCCCTTACCATCACGGCGAGCCTCCTTTGAAACCAGTGGAGTCTCACAAGAAGCGTTCTCTCCTTCATTTTCTTGAGAATAGAGCAAAAGTTCCTCTTGAAACCATCTTCGATTCCTTCACCAAAGTGGAAAAAGAGTTGAAAGATTCATATGATTCACTTGATCCTAAGTGGCAAAGTGACCAAGAAGGGTTCTTGAAGCTGATGATTGTTGATGGCTGTTTCATGCTGGAAATTTTCCGGGCAGCCATTCAAACTCCGGCCGATTACGACGCTGAGGATCCGATTTTCGGCAATCACGGGAAGCTCCATATCATGCCGTTTATCAAGCGGGACATGTTGATGCTTGAAAATCAACTTCCCATGCTTGTTCTTCACAATCTTCTGGCTATTAGTAAGGTAAATCCAGTTTTTGGGTTTTTTAATTTCTTTTACATAATTACGATAAATAATGGGGTAGTTTTGAAAGTTTTTCAAATTTGCTTTCTTGTGCATCCGCAGTGATACTGTTAGTGGGTTTTTTTTCAGAAAATTATACTTTAACCCCTTAAACTATACCGTTATTTTACCATGTTTCTTAAACTATCACTTTTCTTACATTGCATTTTAAGCTAGGACAATGCTTGACCTAATTTCCTGCCATAACATTCATATGGAAAAATTTCAGCCATATACTTTCTAGTTTATTATACTTGAAGGACACTTTCTCTATTTTCTGAATCTTTAATAACATTTCTTGTCAAATTACAAATGTTAATTAGAATTTAATTTTACTAAATTGCCCGTAATATATTTTAGAAAAAATTTCATCAAAACTCTCTCTAGCTAGACATATCTTCAACGAGATCTTTTTTATTTTTTAAATTTTTGTACGTATTAAAATTCGGATCGATTAAAATTTAATTCGAGTTAATTAAACTTTATTTTTGATATATTAAAATTTAAGTCAATTAAAAATTATTGAATTTTTAATTTTTGGGGGTGCAAATTGAGATTCGAACTTTTTTGGGGTGAAATTTGTAACCAACTCTTATTTCCATTCACTCTAATTTTATTTTTAGGACTTTATTCAAAAAAAAAAATTTATTTAAAATATAAATATTACATCATCAATATTGAATTTTTAATATTGTAGACACATGATTATTCTTAATTTATTATATAAATATAATAATTGTAATACTTAATTTCCACGTGAAATGTTTGGAAGAATATCTGAAACTTCCATACAAAACTTTAGTTTTATTTACTTAGAGCTTAGTTTTTGTGAAGATGCAAATTAACATTTACCTTGAATCATGTAGAAAGATGACAAGCCCGTGCAGAAGCTTATCCTCAATTTTTGTGATCCTGCACGTCAAAATCTTCCAGCGATGGGAAATTGCTTGCACGTACTTGATATGTATCGGAAAAGCTTGTTCACGAAAGACTCCCACCACGACTCAGCCTTCGTCTCCATCTCCATGACCGGAACCGTTACCCCAACCGGCACTTGCACTGGCACTGGAACCGTCACCGGAACCGGCACTGGCACTAGTAGCGGTGCCAGCAGACAAGATAGAAGCACAGGGCCGAGGAAAGGCGCGCGCGACGCTGCAATTCCGATCACCCGATCCGCAACAGAGCTGGACGAAGCTGGTGTCCTATTCAAGCGGAACAAACAAAGCCAGAGTATCACAGACATCTCATTCGAAGGAGGATTGACAGGAGTCGGCAACGTCATACATTTGGTTCATGGACAACCTCATTGACACCCCTGCTGACGTCAGGCATCTTCAGGCCAGAAGGATCATTCGGAATTTCATCGGAAGTGACAAAGCTGCGGCGAATTTGTTCAACACGATCTCAAAGGACGTGACGATAGATCCGACGAGTAGGCTGGGGTCGGTGCATTCGGATGTGAGCCAGTACTGCGAGAAGCAGTTGAACAGGTGGCGAGCCAACCTGATACATACCTACTTCACGAATCCGAGGACTGCTATCTCCGTCGTCGCCGCCGGTGTTCTTTTCGGGCTCACCATAGCTCAGACTGTGTACAGCATTTTGCAATACTACTAGGCTAGGCCGGGGCAACCTACGAATAGTTTACTGAATTAATTTTATTGACATAATAAATTATTGTAATGGATTGAAAGTGATTCTACTATTTATTAAAATTTGTTATTAATTAAATAATTATAATTTATTAAATAAGTAAATAATATCAATAAATTAAATTTAAAAAATATTTTTTGAAATAAAATTTACTTTAAAAAATATTATTTAAAATTAATTTGAGCACTTAATCAATTATTTTTGTTGAATTGAGAGTAGACTCCTTCCAACTTTAAAATGCAAAACTAATTATTCTATGGGGTGACTTAAATAGTAATACGGACAAGTTCCCTCTTTGTCTCTCTCGTACACATGTATAGACAAATTTACTTGTGAGCTGATATATTCCCAATAAAAAAAAATATAATTATTGTTAATATTATTGAATCGTATTTGCGTACAACATTATTATGTCAAAATATAATGTCATGTCCCTCGTGAAATTTGTCTTCTCAAATAAACTAACGTTGATAGTGGATGTTATAACTTTTTGAAAATTAGTTTAATAAATTGGGTTAGCAAATTAAGCCCAAAAGAGTATTATTGTATAAAAATTGACCGGACTTTAAATGGCTCAATAGTCCTCAGATAGACACGTGCGATAATGTAGCCGTTATTGAACCCAAAAATGTGAGTGACTGAGACAAGACAATTAATGGGCCCCTATGTCCTCAAAGCCTAAACCAGCAGTTATGATGACTAAACATTAATGGTTATTATGCCGAGTATATCTCTTTACTGTTCCTCGAGCATTGAACGCTCAAGAGTAGGTGTCAGAGGTTTATCTGAGGAACTTCAGTGTCCGGGAATAACCATAAGTATTCAGCATAGCCCCGAGAACTTGTCCTATCAGCTTAGCATTAAAGATACGAAGGTCTGGGTGGAAAACACTCATTATGCGTGGGTAAGACAGCTAGGCATTGAATGTTCAGATGAGACTTAAAACCTTTGCACTCATTACGAATTTAGATATAAATAGACCTCAGAAAAATGAATAAAGGTACGTAACACTAAATTGAGAAAAAAATATACACTGTGCTCAAGCCTTCAATTTTACATTGACTTAAGCTTTGGAAGAAATAAGCCGAGTGTTCACCCGGCCCCCTTTTTCTGATCTTGTGGTTGTTTCAGGTTCACGATACAAAATATCGCTATTTCAATCTGTTGTAGAAAATCTCCCGTGCAAAAATAATAAGAAAATCACGCATTTATTTGTCTTTGGTTGTTGCGACTTAATGTTGTCCTAACTCCATATTTTTAGGACTCATTTGGTTACCGTATTAAGAAATATATTAAAAAGTCATAACAAATTAAAACTCTCTAATTGTTCAAAAAAAAAAATTAAAACTCTCTTAGCCAACCCTTATACTACATTTAGTTTCAAAAAACATTCCTTACTATAAATAATTTTATTTTGAATGTTTATCTAAATAATACACCCTATCCATATTATTGAGAAAATATTCATTACAATGGTAATACTACGTGACAAGATGATATGGTCTTACCAATTAATAATACTAAAACAAATAAGCATATATATGAACTTACAAAAATTAATAACTAACTTACTATGTAAGCAAATAACTTCACACTCTCCTCCTGCCATATAAGCCCAAGTGAGGTTTACCTTTTTCATTTGGAGTTTTATTACTCTTTCCGTTCCTAAATATCTGTCGTTTAAGGTTTTTGCACAGGGATTAAGAAAGCTATTAAATAGCTCTAACATGAGTAAAAAATAATTACACAAGACTAAAATTTCCTTATTCAATACATATTGAGAATGAAAGGAATATGAAAAACACTTAGCCTCCACCTAATCTAATGTATTGAAAAGTTAAGGGTAAATTTGGAAGAAAAATATTAATTATGCTTTGGTTTCATTAAACGACAGATATTATGGAACCAAAAAAATTTGTGTAAAATGACAAATATTTAGAAATGGAGGGAGTATTGATTAGTGATACAATGTCATTAATGGTGACATAGTATCACTGTTGCATTCAATATTTACTCCATATTATTGAGTCAATTATCATATCACTTGGAAATGTGGTATTGTAGTCTAGTTCAAGTATATTATGTTATATATTTACTATTTGCCGACTAAATAAACAAAAATATTAACAACTAGACATGATTAATGATTTTTTGATCACTAGTTTTCTGCGTACCCTTGCCTTTAGTTTTTTGTGGCTATTTATACTTTCATGGAGGTTATCATTGTTGACAGGTGGGTCCCTTCAAAAAAAAGTCTCCCATTGGCCCATTTGAAAGGTAATAGGTGGTGTGTCCAATCTTTGGGCAAGGCGTCTTTGGTTTTGTGTGGAGGAACCATTAGCATACTACTCGGGTTCCTCGCACTTAATGCTCTTTCTTCATGGTCCTTTAGGTAATACACACGTTCCATCTTTTTGAAGAATCATTAAAAGCCATCATGTGCTGGCTGCGCTAAAGCAGGGGCATTCTCGCACATTAGCCTCAAATTTTGAACTCTACGCCTTATATCTCATTCTTTTTGGTTACTGGTCTAGTCTTTCCTGCCAATCTGACATCTTTGGGAAGGTCAGTCGATGATTATCATTGACTAAATCGGACTCCAAGTGACGATAGTCGTCAATTAGCCATCATGCTTTGGGGGTCTTGGAGCCGAGATGATGTATCTGGAAATGGACCTCAGGAGAGCCAATCACGTCGAGGACACATGTCACCTCCTGAGCATTCCAAGAGACATCGGTGCCGAGGACATGTGTTGCACTCTAAGAGCTACGAGAACACACGTGTCATTATCTGAGAACCTTAAGGAGACACATGTGCCGAGTGCACGTGTCTTCATCTGACTAATAAAAAGGATATAGGCATCGAAGACATGTGTCATCTTTGTGTGGATCTCTAGAAATGTCTCATCATTGTGCATTTGGTTGTATATTTATTCCGTGAAATGATGTCAGTGTTTGGCATAAGGCTAAGTGTGCTATAAAATAATTGATAATTTACTTAGAGCAATGTTACATAGACTTAAAAAATAAAATTAAAAATTAGAACCATTGATTTCACTGTAGGTCCCAGTATTTATTGAGAAGAACCATTCTTTCATTGCTAAAAGTAACAACACAAAACAAGTTAAGTATATGATGTCTGCTTTTAGGACTCCCCCCTTCTTTTTCCCCACCAATGTTTTTTTAAATAGTAACAAGTTAAGCCTTGTATATCAAGTTAAGCTTTTCTTACATACTTATGTTTGAGCCTTGATTTTTTTTTTTATTTTTTGATGTTTGTCTTTGAGTCTTACGTGACTTCATTGTACATTTTGTTGATTACCTTTATATATCTGGTTTTTTTTTTTAATACATTTACTTTCCAAAAAAAAAAACAAGTTAAGTATACGATGCCTGTTTTCAGGATTCCCCCCTTCTTTTTCCCCACCAATATGTTTTTAAATAGTAACAAGTTAAGTATAGGATGCCTGTTTTCAGGACTCCCCCCCCCCCTCCCCTTCTTTTTCCCCACCAATGTATTTTTAAATAGTAACAAGTACATGATGCGTTTTTTAAGGACTTTTCCCCACAGTATGTTTTTATAATCTCTAATTGATTTACTTTTTTCCCATGGAATATCAATCAGAGGCAAGGCACATTTTTAAAGTCACTTGCTAAGCTATAATACAAAAAAAAAAAACTTGGAATTTCACGATATTTACTTTTATCCTTTATGGCTTTATCACAATAGAAATGCTAGAATAATCAAATAATGAGATTGAAAATTGGAATCAAATAATGGGTCTATTTGGAGTTGGATGCAAAACTTCAATTTTCTTTTTTTGGTTTCAGAGAAACAAAAGTTTGGTCCGTTTAGACTTGTACTAATTGGACAATTTTTTTATCAATTTTTTGGACAAAAATAACTTTTATTGTTACCAAGAAAAAATATCACTACATTGTTTGTTCTTGTTTTTTGGTCCGATAATTGGTTAATATTACTTTCATCTCATCAATAATAATTATTATCCTAACCTCAAGGTAACTCAAGTGATAGTAGAAACAAACTATAAATTCAGATATCTTGAGTTTGAATTTTAACTTTAAGGCTAGGTCATGAGAGATTTATCTTTCTTGAATACTTAATTCCGACGTAGATGATTTGTCTTTAATCGAATCAAGAAATAGATTAATCGAGATGCGCATAAGTTGGTCTGGACATCCTGATCGTTGAATTTTTTTTTTATTATTATACTTAATTTGAAGAGCTAATGCATTAGAACTATTAAATTGATAATGGACCCTTATAATTAGGACCTAGTTAATTAATACAACAATGATAAAACATTAGGTTTCCACATAAGAGGTTAAATTAGGTCCAATAGTAATGCTCTCTTGGAGTTGTGTGATAATCACAGGAGTGTTGGTGTCTTCTGGTCTCTATATAAACATCATGCAGGAAGTGTAGAGCTAGAAAGCAAAAGAAACCAGAAGTGCGAGAGGAGAGAGCAAAATGAGCTGGGTGGTTGAGGTTGATCATGACCTCGAAAAGATGGGCGATGCTTCAACAGGGATGGAGCCTCTCAAGAAAAAGTCCATCTACAGAGTACCAAGCTTCATTGCAAATCTAAACAAGGGAGTCTACAGTCCTCATGCAGTCTCATTCGGTCCTTACCATCACGGTGAGGCTCATTTGGAACCAATGGAGTGTCACAAGAAGCGTTCTCTCCTTCATTTTCTTAAGAATAGAGCAAGCTTTCCTCTAAAACTGAAAGACATTCTTGATTCCTTCGCCCAAGTGGAAGAAGAGTTGAAAGATTCATATGACTCACTTGATCCTAAGTGGCATAGTGACAAAGAAGGGTTCTTGAAGCTGATGATTATTGATGGCTGTTTCATGCTGGAAATATTCCGGGCAGCCATTAAAACTCCGGACGATTATCACTCCGACGATCCGATTTTCAGCAAACACGGGAAGCTCAATATCATGCCGTTTATCAAGAGGGACATGTTGATGCTGGAAAATCAACTGCCCATGCTTGTTCTTGACAAGCTTCTGGCTATTAGTATGGTAAATCCAGTTTTTTGTTTGTTAATTTCTTTTTCATGTATATATATACTTACGATGGGATAGTTTTGAAAGTTTTCCATATTAATTTGCTTTCTTATGCATCCATAGTGGTACTGTTCAATCATATATTATGAATCACGAATACGGATACGACGATACGATAAAATTTTAAAAAATAAGATACGAGTATGATCAAGATACGACTATAATAAAATATATTTAATATTTTTTATTATTTTCAACTAATTTAATACTTATACATTTTTATAATTCTTTAACATATAATAAGAAAATTAGTAATTCTTTTTAATTTCAAGAAAATATAAATCATGTCGCTGTGGTATATTCACAAAGTGAAGTGACTAATTAAAAAAATTAAATATAATATTTATCTAATATTTAGTAGTATTTTTTGCTAAAATTATAATGTAATAACTTTATTTTATACTTTTTTGACATGCAAATGTAGATAACACTTAAAAAATACTCATGTGACTTTGAAGTAATATGAATTTTTTGTTAATGTATTGTATGATATGTGAATTTGAAAAGAGATATCAAAAGTTCAACTAAAAAATTATATATATTGTTTGACTACAAAAGTATCCATGAAGTATCATAATATTTAATTATTATCGAATACGTAATAGGTGTATCCGATACGTATCCTCAAATATCCGACAAGTATCATATCCGATACGAGTACGTCAACCTCAACAAAGTATCCGTGCTTCATAGATCATATGTATAACAATCACAGTGAACACATGGGTTTTAATAGGCTAATAGTAATCCTATACAATGTTATTCGCATTTTATGCAAATATACCATTATGAGCAATGTTATTGAGACTTAATTTACTGACCTAATTTGCTGATTTAATTTACTATGACCTTTGAATTGACTGTAGGCTCCATTAAATATTGAAATTTGGTGTTAATCTAATGAGTCCAATGAAGTCACATCATTAGGTCAACAAATTATATCAAATTTTTAGATCGAAATTGTATTTTCCTACCATTATTGCATTCCAAAAAAAAAAAATATTACACAATAGCTCAATGCACACCCAAGGGATAGACTAACAATCTAAAGCCGACCTTAAAAGGAACATGATAAACATAAATTTGAAAAACATGATAAAGTTCGTACTATAGAAAAAAGATATGCTTATGAATTATTTAATATATAAAAACTAGTTATTGTTTGTGCTCAAAAGTACAAAGTAATAAAAAATAAAAAATAAAAAATAATATATATATTTGTATTCATATCCAAATAAAAAATATAGGGAAGAGATAAGTGAATTTAAACATCGATTATAGTAGAGGTGAGAGGTGGTGGTAGAAGACGGTAATGGATATGGTGAGTGACAATGACTGTGTTGGTGGTTGTAGTGATGACGGTGACAGTGGTGGTGGCAGTGATGGTGGCGACGACAACGGCATTGATGGCGACGACAACGGCGATGGTGGCAGCGACGGTGATGGTGATGACAGCGGTGGTGGTGATGGCAGCGGTGGTGGTGGTAGAGATAGTGGTAGGGCGATTTCAAATTCTATTTTTTTTAAAAATATTTATGAAAAAAAATTTGTAAAAATATTTTTAAAAAATCAATCTAAACATACCCTTAAGACCTTATTTTTTTTATTAAATTTAGGGTGTTAATATTAGTTGTTAAATTAACTTTAAAGTAAAATTTAAAACGATCTTAACTGCGTAAAATAAAAGTCATTTTATTTATTTTTAAAATTTGAATTTTAACCTACTTTATTATATCGATAAGAATATTAAACATTTCCCTTCTATGTCTTAATACATAATTTCCATGTGAAATGTTTGGAAGAACATGTGAAGTTTGCATACAAAACTTTGGTTTCGTTTGGTTAGAGCATAATTTTTGTGAAACAGTAAATTTACGTGGACTAAATTTTAGGATTAAATATAAAGTTTAAATGACATGATAGTTGACATGAATTTTTTTATTTAGTTTCATATCATTTAGGTTCTAATAAAAATTTCAAATAATATTTTATCATGTCATTTGAACTCCAAATTTAATATCAATTAATTAACATCACCTCAAATATTCATGTAGAATGGTGACGAGTCCATCAACGAGTTGATCCATCAGTTCTGTAATCCCGACTCTCGTGACATTCCTCCACCGACAGAAAAATACTTGCACGTACTTGATATGTTTCGGAAAAGCCTGTTCATGAAATCCTCCGCCACCCCCTCCATGACCTGCATGGGCATTGGAACCGTTACCGGCACCGACATGGATACTGGAACTGTCACTGGAATCGGTGCCGCCACGGCTACTAGAACCGATACCAGTACCGATATCGGCACTGAAACCGGCACCGAAATTGTTATCGGCACCGGAACCGGCACCAACGCCGCCACTGCTACTGGAACCGGTACCAGTACCGGTACCGGCGAGGGCACTAAAACCGGCACCAGCGCCGGCAGCGATGCCAGCAAAAAAGATAGATGCACATGGAAAGGTAAAGGCAAGCAGAGCGACGAATTAATTCCGATCACGCGATCCGCAACCGAGTTGAACGAAGCCGGTGTCCGATTCAAGAGAATAAAAAAAAGTCCGAGCATCAAAGACATCTCATTCGAAGGAGGAGTACTGAGCCTCCCCACCTTCGTAATCGACGACACCACAAAATCGACATTTTTGAACATGATAGCTTTTGAACACTGCCATGTTGGCGCCGGCCATGAGGTGGCCTCATACATCTGGTTCATGGACAACCTCATCGATACCTCTTCTGACGTCAGGTTTCTTCAGGGCAAAAGGATCGTTCAAAATCTCATAGGAAGTGACAAAGGTGCAGCGGATCTGTTCAACACAATCTCTAATGACTTGACGATAGATCCAGAGAGTCAGCTGGGGTGGGTGAATTCGGCGATGAGTTGGTACTGCGAGAGGAGGCGGAACAGGTGGCGAGCCAACCTGATACATACTTACTTCACCAATCCATGGACTCTTATCTCCGTGGTGGCCGCCGGTGTTCTTTTTGGTCTCACCATAGCTCAGACTGCCTACGGCGCTTTGCAATACTACCAAGGCTAAGGGTGAGAAGTGAGGAATATTACCCACTCACACTTTAATTTATTGAACTAATAAATCACTGTTATCGCTTGATTTTCGACCAAAATTTTTCTGTTTATGTTAAATTTTGGGGGAATAAAAATTTGAAGTGTTTTAAATCAATTTGATAGTCGTTTTAAATTTTGGTTTGAAATTGCATAAATGTTATACATTGTGGTTCAAATATATTGCCCAATTTGATGGTAATATAGCATTACATATAATCGTATGTCCCTTTCATGCGTTGCCAAAAAAGTTCTTATGCAAGAGGGAAAGAACAATCCGACATAGAGATAAAAATTAGATTTAATAATTATAACAATTAATTCATTATAGATCTCAATATATATTAAAATTTATTATCTATTCAGTGATTATAATTATTAAATTTATTTTTTAAATTCAAGTAATATTGCTCATTAGGGCTAATTAATGTCTCTATCTCATATATAGACAATTACTTTTGAGTTGATATTATCCTAATAAAAAAGTAATAAATATTGTTGAATCATGTTAACTAACAAAATTGATATGTCAAAATGTCACGTCATTCAACAAGATCCGAACAACATGGACCATTATAAAGTTAATTAGGTTTTTTATTTTTGGTTTAATAGTTAGGGTTGGTTGGACCAATTTACGTGCACTTCAATTAATCCATTCTTTAATCTGGTTAAAGACGGACAAACCACATTGGGAGTATGATATTTATGAGAGATAAATTTTTTATGGTCTGACCCTAAGGAGTTATCAGATTCAAATTAAAGACATTTAAATTTATAATTATCATTTGAATTACTTTTGGGGTTAAAGTTAATTAGGTTTATGCTAACAGTAAATTCATGTTTATGAATTATTCTTATGATAGTTGGTTAATTCCTCTAAGACAGACTTAGTCCAGACATGCCGGCCCAAAAATTGCTAGAAACCTTCTACTCCAAAACATGCAAAATGCATAGAAATATCCCCCGGGGCGGGGTTTGAAAATGTCCTTCATGAAATTCACTTTTAAAATAATTTAACATTAAATTGATAGTGACTTTTAGTACTTTTAGATTTCTTATTAATCCTCGGTTAGTTTATTAAATTAGGTCAATAAATTGAATCTAAATATTATTGTTATAATAAAAATAATAAAAAAATTGTGCATTTATTTGTTTTGATGTTGCTGACTTAATGATGATTTTTGATAAGCTTAACAAATAAATAATAGAGTTTGTTAAAACGAAGTAAATTAGTTGGATTAAAATAATACATAAATAATTAAATTTTGATACAACAAACCCTTTTATTTAGTTTTCTTGTCAGGAAAAATATCCACTTGTACAAATACACACACTCCACAATGTAATCTGAGAATTAATATAGTGGAAGTCCAGTACAGTTGAATCCCTGGATGGAAGCTTGAATAGGCTAAACCACGTAAATTTGTGTCTTCCTTTATCTTCTTCCATCTCAATTTGCAATCTTTCCCAATCTAAAATTTAACATTAGACCACACCAATGCAATAGCAAAAAAAACAATGACAATAATTCAAGTGTTTATTTATTTCCAATCCCCTTGGTGTACTAGGGTGAGAGTTGCTTGCTTCACCTATGTGCCCAAATTCCTTAAGAGAAAACATGGCTACTGAAGTGAAGCAACATTCATCTCTACTTTGACAAGTCATATTATTCATGATGCCATGGCTACTACATACATATTAATCAACCATTTTTCACCAAAATCATCTTACAAACAAGCATAGACGACAGTGAGAGGAAAATGGGACGGTATCATAATTATTAGGAAGGGACATGGGAGAGAAGGGAGTTCTTGGCTTCTTGTTGCCTTGGTAGTCTTGCAGAGCGCTGTATACTGTCTGAGTTATGGTGAGACCGAAAAGAACGCCCGCAGCGATAACAGAAATAAGAGTCCATGGACTTGAGAAATAGTTTTCAATGAAATTAGTGAACGCGACACAGACACCTGTTTTGCCACATCGTGCTGTAATCATTGACATCCTTAAGAATATCTATTAGTTGATGTGATGGGTCGATTGCCAAGCCCCAAGAGATCGTGTCGATTAGGTTAGCCGCATCTTGGTCAGTCCCAAAAGTTTTACGAATGACCCCTTAGGGTTCCAGGACATTGATGTCCCCGGTGCTGCAAATTAGGTTGCTCATGAAACATACAAATGTTGTCATAGCAACGTTCAAAAACTGTCATGTTTAGAAATGTTGATTCAGTGGTCTCATCTATAATGAACAAGGGGAGAAGTAGGACCCTTCCTTTGAATGAGAATTTTTGGTTGCTAGGGTGTGATCTTTTGATTATCACACCAGCATCATACAACTGCTTCGCCGAACGAGACATCCTGGAATCCCTATAATATATTCTGCTGACAATGTCAGATCTTGTGACGTTGTCTCTAAAAACTAGGCTTTTCCGGTATACATCAAGTACGTGCAAGCATTTTTCCATTCTTTGCCAACGTGCTTCAGAATTATAGAATCGCAGTATGAGGTTGTTCATGAACTGCTCGCGTCCCTGCATGAATTATGGTGATTTTACTTTCTTACCAAAACTAAGCAAATGAACCAATAGTTTTGTATTAAAATTCGAATGTAGTTCCAAAAATTTTACATGGACAATTGAATATTATAGACACAAGATAATGTTTATCGTCTTCATATGGATGAAAAACTTGTGAAATAAAAAACAAAAACCCTCCATAAAAACAAGTTTTAAATTGATCAATGTTATTTGAACTTAATTTGTTGTCTTATTGTCATTAGATTGACAATAAACTCTATTAATGGTTAAAATTTAAAGTTAAAATGCATCGGAAGTTCCCAAAGTTACGAGGTTTGTCTCATTTTGGTCTCCAATATTTTAATTTCATAATTTTGGTACTTGAAATATTGAATATGTTTTTGTGTTGTCACTCAAACAAACAATATAAAAATTGCTAACAATTTTTTATTATAAATATGTCATGTAATACCTAAATATGGGTAAAAACAATAATTTGGATAAATCTTGACCAAATTTTTACTCAAATTTTTATCAAAGAGCTATTCAAATTATACAGTTTTGACCACGAGTTATTCTAAAAATCATCTTCGATTCCTTCGCCCAAGTAGAACAAGAGTTGAAAGATTCATATGATTCACTTGATTCTAAGTGGCAAACTGACAACGAAGGCTTCTTGAAGCTGACGATTGTTGATGGCTGTTTCATGCTAGAAATTTTCCAGGCAGTCACTTAATCCAGTTTTTTTTTTTAAATTCATGGAAAAAATGCAACTCCTAAAATCAATTTTTTTAACCCATTAAACACACCATATTGAGAGAAGATCAATGGACTACGTCATTTTATTGAGGAATGCTAGATGAACTTAAAAATTAAACTTAAAAATTTGATTTGATAATCTCAACCATTGAATAGATAGTGAGTCCCAGTAAATACTGGGACCTACAGTGAAATCAATGGTTGAGATTATTATGTCAACTTTTTAAGTTCACGTAGCATTGCTCAATAGTGGAAACTAGTTATTAAAATTTTTGTTTGTCAAAGCATATACTATCATTATACTTCCATGTGCTCATGCTTAAGATTTATTTTTCTAGAAGCATGTCAAGAACAAACATGGGCAATTGATTTTCAAGCAGCAACATGTCCTGTCTGATAAATGGTATGATATAGCCTATAGAGGTTCCCGTGCTTGCCGAAAATCGGATCCTCAGCGTCGTAATCGGCCGGAGTTTTATGGGCTGCCAGGAAGATTTCCAGCATGAAACAGCCATCAACAATCATCAGCTTCAAGAACCCTTCTATGTCATCTTACCAGTTAGAATCAAGTGAATCGTACGAGTCTTTCAACTCTTGTGCCACTTGACGGAAGGAATCGATAATGAATTTTAGAGGCATTTGTCTCCTCCGAAGGAAATGAATGAGAAAACGTTGCTTGTGATACTCCATTGGCTTCAGATGAACCTCACCGTGATGGTAAGGGCCGAATGGCACTGTTTGAGGTCTGTAGGCTTTGTGGTTTTGATCTGCAACGAAGGATGGTAGATGCACGGTCGCTTAAGGAGGTCCATTTCTCTTGAATCATCCGTCATGTATCTTGCTTCATCTTCAACCTGAATCTCCCATTCCTCCATTTTCTCTGTCCTTCAGGTTAATTTCTTGGCTTGCTAGCTAGCTAGCTCTGTACCCTTCCAACGCCAAGGTTTTTTGGATAAATTATACTTTACCTTCACCTTCACCTGATTTGAGAAACTGGCACTTGTTCTCCTTTTATTTTAGAAATCTACACATAACATCCATACCTTTGGAATAAAGTGCAACAAATAACAGGATTAACAATATAGTATAAAAGACATAATACTCTTAATTTTTTTTAACAAATTGAACAATCTACTTGATGTAGAGAGAGAGAGATTACTAAATAAATATTTGGTGTAACGGTGACACCACATCATCGTTGACATCGTAAAGACAATATCGATTGAATAAATTAATCCATTTTTAGATCTTAACTTTAAAGGATATGTAGCACAAATCATATTGCATAGAATTATCACCAATTACACATATATATTTCTTGTAACAAGTCACTAGTTCATCTACATTCTTATTCAATTTGATATCCTTTTTAGTATTTTGACACAATTTCTCTGGAAATAGTTGAGATCTTAAAAGATCTTCTAGTACCCTACTAGCAAAAGGTTCCATTCTACTTATTGTGTGCGGGTACTTGTTTTGATTCAAGATTTCGTGAGTAATTCAGTGAATACTTTCTAAGAAGAGGTTGGTTTGGAAGAAGAAAATGAAATATAAACAACCATGATAGTCGTAATAGATTGACTTTCATGCTATTTCTTGCTCCAACATGAAAGTTTCATTTCAAGGTTGGACAACCTACACATGGTGGTGTCACCATCTAATAATAAACCTACACATAGGGAAGGTGAACCATACTTTGATGGTTATT